GTGTGTGTATACTGTGAACTGTGTCTTTGTTGCATGATACTTAACATCTCATCAATTTTTTACAGGGTGCCACAGTTCTTACTTCTGGCGCTCAGGTTCTTCGTACTCTCAGCCTTCAGAGCCCGAAAACAACAGCACAAAGTATGTTCTGCAGTAATAGTTGCTAAGCTAATTTAGCAGTTTGCATGCATGTACGAGCATGTGTTCACATACACATCTTAGTTTACATATGATGGTCATGCTGAAGATGATGCTGTGGAGTTCTTAGAGTAAAACAGTAGTGGGATAATGTTCATGATTCATTCTGATAGGTGACACAGTGGTAATTAGCAAAGTTGCATCATCCAGTAGCCTGCATAACAGACAAAGAGCAGGGACTAGATTTCTGACTGTAGAGGGAGAATCAGAGGGTATTATTCTGACAACATTTTGGAATTGAAGTGATATTCTCTGTATTTATATTTATTCATTTATTGCTGTATGAATCTTTAATGCTTTGCTTCATTGTTGAAGTAGAGATGCTAGATGGCATCAGTGTGCTTTTGGCAGAACTTTAGAAATTCACATCTTTCCAAAGTACAATGACATATTGCTCAAAAGATGTGTTTTACCATTATTGAAACACCAGGGAATTTTGAGATTTGAAGTTCTCAAGAGCAGTGAATATTAAGATTATGATTTTCTGAAATATCACACTGTGGATCTACCAGACTAATCCTAGGGAATTTCTTGATATGTTGAGTAACCACTATCCTCTTGATGAAGAGTGTGGAGTTAAGGTTGAGATACAGTATCATGTTTGAGCATTTGGAGAGCATGAATAACACGCAAGGAGGCTTCTTGGCCTATGTGAAGAGCAGGTGACGAAGAAAGGCAGAGAAAGTAGTTATGGTCTTTTTTTTAAGTGATTGTGTCCTGAGATTTGAAATTTGTTTGGCAGAAGTGAATATCAGTCCCAAGTTCTGAACAAAGTACCACACAAATGAAAACCTGGAATGCTTATACCTTGCCTTGTCTTTAGAGGTTGTGATTCCATGAACATGACATTAATCTGTTGAACAGGAGCTCCACATGTTATGACAATACCAATTCAGTCAGCTAATCCCATGAAAGTTTCAACACTGAAGGGGTCAGAGCCAACATTGTTACCAAAGACGATACACTTAGCATCAAATCCAATGGTAAGTGTAACTTGACCGGTTCTTATTTCTTTACTTTTTGACATAGGAATATTTTAGTATACTGAATACACAGTAGCATTTATTTCTATCATGTTCAATGTTAATATTCGTGGCACATTTGGCAGGTGTTAAGTGCAACACAGAGGCTAGCAGCTCAGCATGTTCTGCCATCAAATCCGCCAAAGAATTACATTTCACCTATCTTGGATCACAGTGGGTCACGTAAACGTCAAGAAATGGAGAATGACTTTATACCTGAGTAGTAAGTGATTTTAATTAGCATTATTGTCATAAAAATTCAGGTAGTCGAACTTGAGTAATAGTGTGTGTATTTTTGATATACAGTACATAGGTTTAGGTTTTTCAACTATCATGACATCATCTGTTGTTTACAGTAAACGAAGGAAGACTGAAAAAGTTGGAAAAGGCCTCCGCCATTTTTCAATGAAGGTGTGTGAGAAAGTCCGTAAGAAGGGCACAACATCTTACAATGAAGTTGCTGATGAGTTAGTTGCAGAATTTACAAATCCTTCACTTATGACATCACCAACAGATCAGGTAAATTTCAGAGATTCTGTCATTATTCTGAATGGACAAGATAGGCAATAATTGCACATCAAACCAGCCATAAAAAAAATATGTCTTCATTCCACTCATTATGATAAGGAGTGTGTATAAGTGTGTATGCAGCAAATTTTTAAAAAGGTGATAGAGTGATGTACAAGACATTGCTGTTACTGGCTTCAAAATAATTATGTATACACATTATCATAAATTGTGTGTCTAGTTAAGTGAACGTTCTGAGGTTGACAGTTTTAATGAAAGTGTATCACAAGTAAATTTTGTATATAAATACTTCATTATGTTTGTGTGTTTGAAATATCTAAGATTATAATGAGAAGATAGGCAGAGTATGCAGTATATCTGGAATAAACACATATTACATACACAGGGTTCTTGGAAATATGATATACCTTATTTACTCTCATAATTAAATACTCCTGCTTTTAGAAGAGAAATTTCAGAAAATAAAACTAAGTAACAAATCTTTAATTTTGATTATAAGCCACATATTTTTGGTCAAACAGATATGACAGTAACTGATCATGTAATTTTCAACTTCACATACTGACAACCATCTGACTTATATACTAGGTGGTTCAAATATGACCGGGACTGATTTAAAAAAAAAAGAACATAATTGCCAAACACTTACTTGCACATGTCAGTCTTCAACGTACTACCCTCTGGAGTCAACACATTTTTTCCAACTTTCTGGAAGCATCCTGATGCCCCCCCAAAAAAAAGACTTGTGGTTGGCGGCGTATCCACTCCTGAACAGTCTGGATGATGGCGGCGTTGTCCACAAACCACATGCCTTACAAGTCTGATTTGAGCCTTCCGAACAGGTAGAAATCACTTGGGGCCAAATCGGGACTGTACGGCTGATGTGTCAGAAGGTTCCATTTCAATTTCCGAAGGGTTTCCATTGTTATTTTGGCCGTATGGGGGCGTGAATTGTCTTGAAGGAAGGCTATCAGCTTTCCACCTGTCTATCGCTTGGATCGGATCTTACTCCAAGTTCCTTGATAGTGATGCGCCTATTCTCACGAATAGGCATGTCTGCATGATCAATGTTCGGCTTGGTGATGGATGTTCGTGGCCAACGATCATGCGGTTCATTCTCCACGTGCTCTGCCCTCTCTGAAGCACTTACACCACCCAAACACGTGGATCCGTGAGAGACACTCTTCCCCATACTGTTGTTGGAGTCTGTGGTGAATTTCAGTGGACTGGACGTTTTCTCCAATGAGGAATTTGATCACAATATGTTGTTCCACACTCCGCGGTACCTTCTGTTCTCTCATCACTCTAGCAACTTCCAGACAGGACTGAACAGGTTCTAAACCTAACAGGAGGGAGGGTGGAGGTTGTGGCTTCACTCTCTCAAGGTCGCACAGCTGCTGCGCAGTGCAGCTTGTCTACAAAAAAATCAGTCCTGGTCATATTTGAACCACCTTGTATTATCAGGTCAGAGGAATACATATTAAGACTTCAGAAAAATGCACACTACACTTGATTTACTTGTGAAATGCGGCTACCACTGTTGATTTCTGTCGCATGTATCTGGCCATAGATAGATAGGGTGGAAGGGAAGAGAGAGGGGCCAGGATGCTTTGGCAGTTACTAACATCCATTTGCTTCTTGGTGCTGGTGTATGCACTGCATATGTTATCAGTATAAGGTACTCATTTACAGTTGTAATAAACATGTTTTAGATTCCACGTTTGTTGGCAACTAAGTACTCGTACTTTGTTTTCCCTGTAAAATAAGAAAGTTTAGTTAAGTGTGCTCATTTGTTTCCTAATTAGTCCTGATAAATCTCTTGAGGGCTGAAACTCCATATACAATGTGTCTGGAAATTCGTCCCTACAGGCTCCACTGTGTGATTGCCTGATGAAATTGTGCTTTGATAAAATTTTGACCAAATCATAATTGTTATGGAAAATGAAGTTATGAAGTTGAGTATAATGTGGTAATGTGGTATTTATATTTGTTCCTACAGGTTCCACCATATATTTTTTCTTGATAAGGTTCAAGTCCCGATGAGGTCATTGGATTTTCCAGTTGACCTAATCCTTCCAGCCGCATTAGGCCCTGGGGTTTACTCAGCCTCTAACAGAAATGAGTAGCAGGAATTAATTAAATAATTTTCCAGGGGAGTAAAGTGCGGCCGGTGTGTAAGGCTGACAACCTTGCCACCACCTTTGAGCTGATTGTCTAGATACTGTGGGACCCTCTTACTCATACAACCCTATGGGCCTTCACGGCCTTGTACAGGGATAGCTTTACTCTCTCTCTCTCTCTCTCTCTCTCTTTTGCATTGACACAAAATCATCTCTCTTTCATTTATCCATCCTATCATAATTCCTGTCGCCATATTCTAAAAATAATGTACTGGATTTTCCTTGAGAGGAAAAGGGATTGCCTGTTGTTTGTATGTTATTACAGTTGTCTTTTGTTAATAGAAATGGGCAGATTCCTTACTGAACATAATTTATTTTCTATTGCAGCTCTTTGGAGGAGGCAGGAAATCTGTGTACATCTAGCTGTGGAGTGGTCTTAAGCATTAACAATACCAGTATGTGACAGTATACAGAGGGTTTTTTTTTTCAGTAAAAAAAAAGATAAAGTTGTCCCTGTGCATAACTAATAAAGCGATACTCTGTGAAGATAAATGGGGGAGTGAATCCACATATTCTTGATGTCAACAGTAGTTGGAGGTGAGTGGTCAGCTTCATGACCTGGCTGCTTCACCCCCCAGGGAAAAGTCCCTGGTACCCATTGCATAGGAGGCTGGGTGGGCTCCAGAATTGGTCTGATGATACGGAGACAAAAACCTTGCCTTTACCAGGACTTCAACTCTAGCCCATCAGCTGTCAAGCCTGCAGCCAATCACAATACTGACCGCTATCCAGGGATCCCTTTTTCTTCAGTATGAAACAGTATACATGTTTGGTTTTTCTTTCTCTTTCTGAACAGTGAACATATTTTTTGTCTTCAGCAATATGACCAGAAGAATATCCGGAGGCGTGTGTACGATGCACTCAATGTTCTCATGGCAATGAATATCATCTCTAAAGAGAAGAAAGAGATTCGGTGGTTGGGCCTGCCTACCAACTCACTGCAGGAATGTATTAACCTAGAAAAAGATAAGCAGCGAAGAATTGAACGTATCAAACTAAAAACACAGCAACTACACGACCTTATATTGCAGGTTAGTTATATTATGTATGAAGTTATTTTGCAACTGGAAGCCTAATTTCCTTATGGAGAGTTGTGTATGATGTAAGCTTCATGTGGTGCTTGAGTATAGTGAAATTACTGATGTCATAGCCTGAGTAATATGTTTGGATTCAGGGGAGATGAAGCAGTGAGGGAATTAAGAAAACTACATAACAAGGACCATAATTTGTACTTTACCTAATAATGTTAAGAATGATGAGGCAAGAAGGTTGACCTTGACAGGACATATCATTCATGGAGGAATCAGAAGATTGCATACAGTGATTTGGTTAGGAAACCTCAGGGAATGAGACTGGTGTGTCGCTGTAATGAGCATATTAGCATGTATTATAGAAATTTTGTGTATAAAGATGTGCAGTGGATTGGACTGGTTCAGAATAGGTTCTGATGACTGGCTTTTGTGACGGCTGTGATAAATCTTTAGGTTCCATAACATGGAATTTCTTGATCAGCTGAAGAATTGATCCAGAAAGATCATGCATTTAGTTCTGAATGTTGTTTTCTTTTTTAGAATGACAGTATTTATTATTAATACTAATTTAATTAATTTTTTCAGCAAATATCATTCAAAAACCTCGTTGAAAGAAATAGATCTGTGGAAAGTAAGTGTGGTCCACCAGCTGCAAACTCTGCCATCCAACTGCCATTTATCATTGTTAATACCAGTAGAAAAACTGTCATCGATTGTAGCATTTCCAATGACAAGTAAGCAAATAGTTTAATTTCGTATAACTGTCTAGAATTTGATCTTGTGCAGGTATATGTCATATAAGGACATTTCAGGAATTTTCTGTGTCGTGACACGAGTGTGATTGTTCTTGTGAATACAGTCCTCTTACTCGTATATGTGATATTAGTAGCTGTATCTGGTGACTGTGCCATGATGTCTTTCCACTGTGCATGCTCTTACAATTCAGTTGCCAACGTTCCTACCCAACCAGCTTCAGCAGTATGAGACCCAAGGTGTATCATAGGATGAAGTTTAATGATCTGGATGCAGCATCTGCCTTACTGATCCTTTAAAATTAATTATACGTACATAAAATTAAGAAACCATAATCCTATCATTCGTGATGTGCTAAATAAACCGTTATGTCATGGAAAGGAACTTCACACTTGAGATACAGATTTCTTGTTCTCCAGTACCTCTTGTTTTGTGATACTATGTGTATTCAAATTAACCCAAGATTTATCTGGAAAAGAAGTTTCAGTGTGGGAGCAAGTTTTTCACTGTGAAGGACCTGAAAATACTGGCACCATTTCAGTGATTATGTTGTGGCCCTCATTGTCTCTTTTATATTCTCAGTTCTTGTGCAAAACGTGTAAGAGGTAAATGTTCAAGCTGTCTCTGATATTGTGGAAAGATTCTGGATTAATACTAGGGTTTGATGTTTTAGTTTCCTGTCTGCTACCATAGTCAATAAGTTCGTGGACTGGATGGAAAGCTTCTTTTCAATACATTACAGTGGATAGGTTGAGGTGCGATATGAAGCCCTGTTAGCTCATCTCTCGTCACAGCAAGTAGCAGTTGTGTGCAAACAGTATGTGCAAAACTACTGCCTCTATTGTGAACTGCAGTTAAATGGAAGTGGCAGAAATTGAAAATGTGGCAGTTTGAACAACGGGCAGACTTCATGTTCTGACAAAAACTAGGCAAACCCCTTTGTGAAATGTTTGGCGTAGGAAGAATTGGCTGTTGCTACACGACAATGCTCCTGCACATCACTCTGTTCTTGTCCAAGAGGAACTGGCAAGGCAACAGGTCATCGTTTTGCCACACCGTCCGTACTCACCTGATCTCGCATCATGCAATTTCTTTCTCTTTCACCGCTTGAAAGCAAAGCTATGTGGTTGTAGATTTCAAGCATCCAAGGAGGTTGTCAGTGCCACAAGAGATGCCGTACAGAAATTTCCTGCCATTATGTTTCAGCAATATTTTCAGCAGCTGTATCAACATTGGAAGACTTGCATAGCAGCCAATGGCAACTATTTTGAGGGCCGATGTGGATCTGTGTAAGCGTATGTGAATACCTTGTAATATGATGCAATAAAAACCACAGTCCACCAACTTAATGACTATACAATGTATTAACATGCCAATACTTGAATTGACACTTTTCATGGGAGGCTTCATTTTATTTGAGTGAACCTGTAAACACATAAGACAGCATGTACTGCAGTACAGAAAATTTGCATCTTATGCATGTATTATATAATTAAAATTATAGTAACTGTACATCTGCAAGGTATAGCATTTGTGGAACAGTGATTTAGAGAGCTTCAAAACTATTGCTGCTGTTTTGGGTGTCTCTTGAAATAAGGGATGATTCAAGACTGACTCCTTTCCAATGTACACTTTGAAGGACAACACCTAACCCGAACTTGATTTCAGCAGTGTGGATGTCTTTACTCCAAACTGATGATTTCAGTGTGAGGTATTGTTTGAAGGATAGGCATCCCTACCACAGCGTGAGTGATTTATCAGTTGAAGTGTCTTGTTGGGGGTAGTGGTATGGTCTGGAAGTTTTAAATGTAGGCAAGTGAGATGGTAGATTTTGAAGTAATTTACTAAGCAAAGTTACTGCTTTATCAGAGAGCTGAATTCAGCAGTTGTCTTTGTTAAACATTCTTGCCATGTTAAGTGGATCCCTTGCCATGTGTCGTGGTGCACCTTCAGGTTGCAGAACTTGATGCATCCTGTACTGGAATATGAACAGAAATCCATAAATAACTTTATGTGAGTCACATAATCTTGACTTTAGGAATATCCATACCACTTTGTTGTGTTTCAGAATGGAGTACCTATTCAACTTTGATGACAAATTTGAAATTCATGATGATATTGAGGTTCTGAAGAAGATGGGTATGGTGTTGGGTGAGTAATAACTTTGAAGCCAAGTGGCAGTCTGAGTTTGAGTGCGAAACATGTGGAAAGTATGTTTATATACACTGCACTCACTTTTGTACAAACTACATTTGTGGGAGGGAGGCATATTAATATGACTATCACAAGAAAAATAAATCATTGGCACAATTTTGATAAAATTCTATTACTATGTATGTGTATTAACATCAGTGTGCAACCGTCACTGCAGAAATATTTAATAGTGTGTTCGGAATTTTATAGTAGGATGAGCTGAAGTACAGAGCATTCATTATGGAGCCAGAATAGCTCAATCATTACAGCAGTGGGCTACGGACTGGGCAGCTGGGGTTCAGTTCACAGCAGGGTAAAAGATTTTTCACCACCTTGCAGAGTCTGTACTGGCTCAGAGGCCTACCCAGCCTCCTGTCCAATGGGTACCATGAGCTCTTTCCCAGGACATAAGGCAGCTGAGGTATGAGGCTCACTGCTCACCTCCATCCAGTGCCAAGGTCAAGAATTGTGGAGCTATACCTCCACACCCTAATAAAGCTTTTGCCTTTACCTTTTAATGAGTATTCATAATAAGTCATTGAACTTTATTCATTTATTAATCTCAGAAAATGCCCTACACAAACTTTCTTCATAAAGAATTGAAGCTTTCCATAGAATTATGTTACTTAATGATAATGAAGGCTGCACAGAACATGTCACAGTTTCATTTCACAACACAGTTGGATTATTTTCTACCACCTGAATAATTTTCACTTTTTTGTTTATTGTTAACTTTCTTTTCAATGTCATGGCCATTCATTACTTCAGAATCACTTCCAAGAGAAAGCACAACACTTGAATGCAAGACAAAAAAACAAACAGTAACCAATTCCAATGGACACAGAGGACAGATGAAGAATAGGCAGAGTCACACTGCATTGTATGCTGTGCAGAACTACTTGAGTTGGAACACAAAAAAAAATCCATTCACTTAAACAGGATTCAAAACATGCATAGGAATCAATTTTTTATACATGAAATATGGGTAAACTCTTAAATTGAGTAAACTAATACATTTAAGCTATGGAGCTTTAGCTGGGATGACAAAAAATATACCTGAAATGCAGAAAAATGTAAAATTTGGGTCCATAAAATCAGGGTTTCACTGTATTCATAATGGTGAAAGTCCTTGTTTGTAAGAAGGTTTTTCCATATCTGTAATGCAAATAAATTGACATTGCCAACGTTTTTTGTCGCTGTAATAATGTTACAAGCAATGCATGTTCTGTACAGAATATAGTGTACACCGTGAAACCGTATAAATATATGCACTGAAAACCATTTGCATCATGTCAGGGATTTTTCTAATGGTATGTTGTTTCTTCATTTGCTGTTGACAGGCTTAGATAAGGGAGAATGTTCTGAAGCTGATCTTCATAAAGCTAAAGGAATGGTGCCAAAATCTTTGGCAAGTTATGTTGTCCGTAAGTATGAAGTCATATGTAAGAATGTACAATCAGGTGATATTCTACGCATCAGATACCTAGTGATATGTACATGAATCACTCAGCTGTATCTAGCTGTTCAGCATCACTTTTGATTATCAATTACTGTGAAGCAAGAGTAGCTGTATTTTTCAGATGTATTCTTTGCACTTTTGTGTACGTCATAGGCCCTGATGTATTTAGTTGCAGACGAATCTATGTTGACAGTACAGTGCATAGTAATAATTTTTTTCCCTGCGTTTCATTAAATATAAGTCATCGAAAAATGTTTCAACTAAAATTTATACCATCTCCATACTCACATTACTGTACTATGTTCAAAGCAGTCCCAGTTGAATTTATAGTGATTTTATTATCATTTTAATGTACTATCCATTTCTATTAAATTATTAAGTATTCTAGCATTTTGTGCAAATCCTATAAATGTCTTTATATCCTCTAGTTTAATCCAAGATTCCCACTGTCTGCTTAGTACAGTTACGTGAACCATGTTCAGTACCTTGTCATCTTATCCTAAGATTGCTGGCTTTGTCAGTATCTAAACACATGTCTTGTAAGGCATTGTCTTTGCAAAATAATATGGTTTTTATTCCAGAATTGGCAAGTGGTCAAGTTGATCCTTTGCTGCCTGAACTGGGGGCAGGGCCAAGTTCATCAGCTTCCCTAACTGTGGAGGAACTGGAAGCAAACTTAGGTGTGGGTGAACTGTCGCGTCAGTCATCTCATACCTCACTTTCTGATCCAATGTCACCCTCCATACATGACTTTTCTGATGAAGAGTCTGATATTTCCAGTGACCTGGAAGTTAACTAGCCATTCATTGAAATAATGAAGAGAAGTGAAGAGAACCAACAGAAGAAAATTAAAGAGCTTAATTGATCACCAAATTGCAGGTTGATGTTATTCTTCTTGAAGAACAGGAGGCTGTAAGGAAAGGATGTTTCATGTTATATTTGCCACGCTGCTTTAGCATTGAATAATGAACTGTGCTTCCTCAGCGGGTAAGTTCAGAGTAACTTGAAAAAGAAGTTGGGAGGTGCTTGATCTGTTCAGCAGTCCTGTTTTCACAATTACAAATCAAAGAGTACAACTCATCTCTCACCATTCAATTGATGCAGACATGAAAAGGACTTCTATTATGGAAATGTCTTCAGAATGGTGTTTGGTGCCCATATGTGTTAGGATGTTTGAATCATTGCTCAGCTTGTGGATATCCTCAGCAATGTTGTGGTTCAGTAATGTCAGTAAACCTGTGGGGTGGAATACTGTGGCTGTTCCCTCGAACCAAATTTCAACAAGTTGAGGCCGTCCAAATTCAATTGCCAATTGAGCTAAGGCATATGTACAGAACCTTTTCTTCTCCGAATTATTGAAGCCATAGTGTCATGATGAAGCAAGTGAGCTCATGCCACTGAGATTGGGACCATTGTCTATTGTGTAAGAAACTTTGTGGCAGAAAATTACACACATGGTTGGAGAACATTATTAGTACTGCCATCATAAAGTTTCTGAGATCTGGTTGAACATTTGTTGGAAAGTTTCTCTTACTGTAATATTTGTGACAGCCTTATTTAAAGGGCAAGAATACATTTCAGTCCAGAATAACAGCACAGAATAACTTAAGAGATATTTTTTTTTAATTAATGTTTTTAAAAGGAGTAATGTAGAAAATAGAATTTTCCTATAACCTATCACATGTAAAACTACTCTTCTGCACCTAGCAGTTTTACATTGCATAGATGTTTGTGTTAAAGACAGTATGGAGAAGTCTCACCCAGATGTGACATCATGGCACAGAATTGAATTTCTGTGGTTGTAATGGGGTTCAGTTTCACAAGCTGTGGTGCATCTTTGTGGATATTGCCTTCAGAATGAAAACACAAAGTATCCGCCATTTCATGCACTCTACATGAAGTCTGGTCAGAAATCAGTTCAATACAGATTATTGACTTTTCATTTCATAAATAGCATTGCACTTTTCAATGAAAATGAGTAATTGCAATTCATGTCCAAAGAAATGTTCGTCTCTGGTTTTATTAGTTCATCCAGTTCAAAGTAGAATATTTCACATGTAGTAACAGGCATTAAAGAAAACTACTATGGTGTACAAATAACCCTGATTTATACTTGATTATCTATTACACTTCGTAATGCACATAATTCATCATGTACAAATGTAGGCTGAGAAGCTACAGACCATAAACATTAATATAAATAACTTTGAAAATTGTGCGCTTAAAACCTTATGGAATCAGTGTGTAGGAGTTTGTTGGACCAAACACTGCATGGTGTAATTACAAATCCAAGTAGTTTGAAACATGTGAGATCTGTGATTTCATTTGACAAAGAAGGGGTCACAGAAAATGGATAATTTAGCATAGATATGTACATATTCCCTTTGTGTGTGTGTGTGTGTGTGCGTGCATGTGTGTGTGAGGAGCGCCTCTTGTTAGTTTTCATTCCGAGGCAGTCAAGTTGCAACTCAGGACATCATGTGCCCAATGATTTGGATAAAAGTCTTTTAGATTGCACATCTGTGTAGTAAGGGATCTCATTGCCTCTACATAATTTTTGGGATGAACTGAGTGTAACAGATTTATTTAGTAGATGGAAATGCCTTGTTTGTATTTTTTAAAGTTTCCCAAAGTACTGCATCTTCAGGAATGAACACAATACAACCTTTGTATTATGTGATACAAAATGGAAAATGTACAGTAAATGTTTTACAAAAACATTTCCTTTAATTATATAAATGATTACTTTCCTGTTGTATTTTGGATGGAGGCATCATGTCTGGTTTATGTTAACAAGTCCTCCTGGTTGCAGTTATTGTTTTTAGTATGAAGTAGATTGTATAATCATTGTTAAATATGATTTGCAAGTATTGAAAATTGTAAACCACATGTATATTTTTACTGGCAATGCAGTGTTAACGGTTAAATATTGGTGCTAATTGGTTGCCCACAATGAGTAATGAACAGTGGACATAAGTGAAGTGGTCTCTCTGAAAACTACCGATGCAGTCATACTGGGACTGAGATGAAGTAACAAACATGGCATTTAGAGAATGTTCTGAATAATTCTAAAAGATGTAAAAATTCTTCATCCTGGAAATATCAATGCAACATTTCAGATCACAATTTACGTTCATTGGATTATTCTGGGCAGTCAAGAGGTCCTTACTTTTCTGAAGATAAAGTTAATCTCATATTGTTTGTATTTTTTAATTGCAACATTAATAATAATAATAATTGAAGATGTCTGCACAGCAAATGTTTTTTATCTCCAAATGAACTTTGTCTTTATGTGCATATTTTTGTTCAGTGAGCTTGAAAAAATATATTCTCACTATGAACCAAAAATCATTTGCTTCATATTTTTTGCCACTGAAGGAATTAGAAAATCTTCCAAGGAAGTTCATATTTACAATATTGAACAAATATGCACAGCAGAATTTAGTTTAAAGCTTCTGTTTGAAACATTGCTCCTGCAAATACTGAACTAGGGTTTCTGGTTTAAAATACTTAGTCCACTTTTATATGTCTTTGCCTGCTCAGACACTGAGATCATAGATTTGAATCCCACTCAGTGCATGAATGTCTGTGTTTGTATTGCGCAGTGGCCTTGCAGCAGGCTGATCCCCTGTCCAAGGAGTCGTACCAACTATCTGAGATTAAGAAACTGAAGTGAAACGCAGTATTTCACAGATGACCGATGCTCCAAGTGGGAGCAACAGAAACAGGAGAAGTCCACATTTGTAAATGGTTTTTAAAGAGTACATTTTTTCTAGCTTTATTTTAGCCTTTCTTTTACCCCATCCAGGGAGTATGTTATGATTACTCACCTTGCAGGTTTATCTGGATCTCTGCTTAGGTATTTTCCATCCAGTACATCTGAAGGCACGTCCACATTACTTGTGCTTGTGTGACTCGCTATGCTCACGAGTAATGTGGACTATATGACAAGTCACAAGACAAGCAAATTATTAATTTAAAAACTATAACCGATAAATTAAAATATGACTACAACCTATACACACTACTAGTAAATTTACGAATCCTCATGCATCGAAGCCTGGCGAGCAACTGAAGTAATGTGGATGAAGATTTACGGGCACAAGTAAAAGCCAGACAAGTCTCCCGACGAGCACAAGCATGAGTAATGTGGACGCGCCTTTAAGGTTCAAAATTAGAATCAAGTGTTACCACTGTTAAATTGCATGCTTTACTTTAGTTATGGAAACAGAGTTCAGAGAGATGTTTGATAGGAAAACAGTCCTAGATGAGTAAAAGGTAAAGCTATCCCTGTACCAGGCAGTGAAGGCCCATAGGGTTGTGAGATGTTGAGGGTCCCACATTATCTAGACAATCAGCTGATAAATGGTGGTAAGGTTGTCAGCCTTACACGCTGGCCATGCTTTACTCCTCAGGAAAATTATTTAATTAATTCCTGGTAGTGCTAGATGGGTGCCAAAATTTTCTGAAGAGAGAGCAACTTGTGACTAATACTGGGCACCACAGTAACCCAGAAAGCAAAACACTGTCACAGCAATGGGAGCACATAAGTTCTACTACATAAATAAGTTCAGTCATCTGCCGGCAATCATAGCAGCTTCTGGGATACTTTGGGTTATCCAAGTTGATTTTGTACCAAATGAAAAGTGATTGCCAGCAATTAACTCCCCTTTACTGAAGGAACATTGGGAGAATCCATTCACAAGAACTGATAAGCCATTTTCAGCAAGACGTTCTCAAGGAGATGGGCCATAAAGTGCTTCAGCATGTCCCTTAAAGTTCAGATTAAGTTCCAGCGGTTTCCATGATTTTGAGCAACTGCAGGAGTTGATGGGTGGCCAGAAATTGTTAATGCAGTGAACAGATTCAGCATGTTGAAATATTCATATATGCAATTGGATTTATGAAGCTAATGGAATGTTAGAAAAAGTGAGCATTGGGGGGGGGGTAATTAAATTAAACAATTCCACTATCCCTGCATCTCATGCATATAGAATTTTAAATCTGTTTGGTACAACTGACTTAAGAGGGTAGGAAAATACCATTACTGATCTAATGTGCTGCTCATGGCAGGAGATGGCCTGAAGCTACAATGAAGTTCTTCGAAGCATTTGGCATAAATGAGATATCCACAAAGATGATGTGTTTGGGATATGAACAATTCATATTCAAAATGAAGCTCACAATTGCATATTGTCAGTGGGATTAAAATAATCACTAATCTGCACCATCTTATACATAACAATGTTTTTCAGAAAGAGGAAATAAGCACACAGTGTAAAGTATAAGTTACAAGTAATATTTGCTTTTAATATAATGTAGAACTGTACAACTGAACATACATATTGTTTTAATCATTAAATACATTCTGATGTAGAAGTCTGCAGTGAGTATCACAGTAGATATAGAGATAATGCTGCTTCACTGAAGGTCATCATCATCATAAAGATCATCAAAATCTGAAAATAAAGAACAAAATCAGCATACTGCAAAAGAAAAGCTTTAAATGCACTTTTTATTCCATTACATAGTATCAGCTGGCCAGGTTCCAACAGGATATGAACAGATGAGGTGCTTCATACTGTTCTCATGCCTCGACAGTACCCCATTACTTAAAGAATTTACACCATTACAGTGTAACAAAAGTCAATGCCTAAATGTTTAGAAAATGGCAAAACAAGTGCACCTGTGACTTCACTTTTGTTGCATGACAGCTGAGGAATGGTGCGCATGTATAGTGCAGACACTTTTGTTTACATGTTACACATGCTGCAAATAATATTTTGAGAGGTTATAATAACAGTGCTACAACAATCCCAATGACACCAGCCTCTGGGATCCTTTGGACTACAGGATTCTCACATCCACCAGCAGAATAGGTGATATGTATGCCATGACTAGTCGATAAGATCTTTTTCTCAAGGGATACTGGTTGCTTTGGTGACTGGGAAAGGGAGTGCACTTTGGAAGTTATGAATTACACAATCACTTTAACACAACGAACAGTAACACTAAATTTCTTAATCAATTCCTCAACTCCTCCACATATATCTCTCTTGCCACAATTATCACTTTAAATTCTGTAGCTATCATTACTATGTCACTATCTGTGTGAGTGATTATTTGTCGTCACTATATAACTCTTAACTATCCAATTTTATCTCACTAACTTCTCCCTTTCAGCTGAGACCCCTTTTATAACACCCAGGCAGCCCCACATCATGGCACCTAAGTGGTCATCGTTAGGAAACGGTGACAGCTGGTTTCTAATAATAGGTGTCTTGAAAAATAGTGAGAAAAAAATTGAATAATTGCAGAGACGCTGAAGATTATTTGTAAATTATGAACATGATAGAATAGAGTTTTATTTTACTGTAACATCCTGACATTTGCCTGGAGGCACTGACAAAATCACAAAGACATTGAATCTGGATACTCTGTACCCTTGCTGAGATTCAAACCAGGTATCTCTCCAATGCAAGTAAAATGTGTTAACAACCGAGGAAATGTTTCAGTCTCTGCAGATACAAATGGGTAAGTTCAATGTTAAATTTAAGTTCCGCTTATGTCAAGCCTAACTACAGAGTTTGATGGAAAATATGAATAAAACTTCTCAGTCATTCACTCACATTAACTATTACTATTACAACAAATTATATTGGTTTACCATTGAAAAAATCAGCATGGACTGCTTTTTCATTAGCTGCCAAATCCATCAGAAGTCCACTGGATCCCCCTGCCTGCAAAAGAAGTGAGTTTCACCATAAAATATAAACACTCAATGGGACAGGGTCAAGCTATATGCATTACAGAATTTCATAATTCAGATCTCTGATTAAATGTAAGAACGTGTGATAAATTATTGTCACAGACTGATATTAGGCTATCATTAATTATCTATTCTGCACACATTTAAAGGGCAACAACAATCTAGAGAAAACTGATACAAATTTATGTACTAATTGAAAACCTCCAGAAACCACATAAATTCTGAAAATCCCGAACGTATGGTTTGAAATTATGTATTCATTGCAAACACTCAGAAACTGCAAGACTGCAAAGGACTGGAAGTAATCATTATTCATGATACTACACCAGTATTTGTATGAAGGGAGCAAAGTAAACCACAAAAATCTAAAATCAGCCTAGATCTGTGGTAGACATTTCCCGAATACAAACGAGATACAATTTCTGTTTACCCGTTTGATCCAAAATTGTCATACAGTAAGTTTTAGGTTAGTACCTCTCAATAAATTTCTACAACTTCTGTAGTATAATAAGAGTTGAATTAAAATTAGAAGTATCTTAGTCCACTGTTTTACCAAAACACCGGCTCAAAATTAAATTAAGAACTGAAATACGTTCGTCAAAATGGGCAAATATTATCTGAACATTATATCATTAAGTTACCTCTTCTAAATCCATATAAGGGCCAGCACCTTCTGGAAACATTTCATCAGCAACTACTGTGGGTTTCATAACTAAGACGTTTCGGTACCCACGCTATGTAAGACTTTGTATGTGACAAATTTTATATCCAGCCCTACTGGAATACAACTGGATCTATGAAATGTAATTACAAATAAATCCCATAGGCACCACAGCAACCACAGCTACAGCCTTGTCATCGGGGTCATCGGGGTCATCAGTGTGCGCCGAAGCGCCGAATACCGTCAAAAACGTCAAAAACTTTTCTCAAAATTTGAACGGTGACGTCGGTCGAATGTTGGTAATAAGTGGCTATATGAGGGAATTTAATCATCCATGTGCGCAACTGTGGCGACGCCGAATGGAAACTACGTAACTACGCCATGGAACACTAGTTCGTCGCAAAGGTCGCAACGGTCGCAACGTTTACAAAGTTCACCACTTTTACCAACCTTTACCATTACCATTAGGTTACGCACACAGGAGCAGTGTGTTAGTAGCCGTTTAACATGCGTTAACAAAAGCAGGACAAAAATTATTTTAGACTATTCACTTAATAAGGTAGGTAGCTTTATAGTATATCCAAGGGTGGAAACGGATCGAATGTAATTTATTTATATTGGATTTGAGGTTCTGTCCGTGACTATGAAGTGTACAGTCTTCAAGGATGATCTGTCTGTGATTATGAAGTGTACAGTCTTCAAGGATGTAACACCAAATAATGCTGTAAAAGTCCACCGACGCGGCTCTGCTTACAGTCTGTGTGTTACTGATTTCTTGCCAGGCCTGTCTGTTGCCAATGTGGATGGATGCAGTGTTACACCATGGTGACAGGGGGCGTGGAGGAATCTCTCCACCTCTTCCGCCATCCATGCCGTTGTGCCCTTGGGGAATGGCCAGTTGCAAGGCTAAGCACTTGGTACTTGACTCGTTAACTACCTCATGGCTGTGAGTTCCCAGTCCCGATAACACAGGGAGGTACGGGAGAACGGGGAAATAGAGGGTGTGACTGGGGGTAAGTCATTAACACCACACATCCCCTTCACTCGGTCTACTCTCGTCCACTAATATATACACTTTATACATATCACTTTCATGGCTGACAGTGGCCGGTTACGTACACATTGTAATTTAGAGAAAAATACACTTTGGTTCACCATCCCTAGCCTTCGAGGTACTTCCTACGTCCCTACTCAGGGCCTACTCTCTCTCTGCCCTAACCCTGTAACATGACACTTTAATAATATCTCACTGTATATCCATGACTGATATGAACAGTTCCACTTACTTGGTGTAGGAAGCTGATGGTGTCCCTCACTTGGTCTGGCACGACCATGGTTCTGGCTGGCTACTACACTCAGTTACGACGATCAAAAGATTGATTGTTTGATCCAAAAAGATTCCATGATCGATTCAATAATAGACGCAATGATAGACCCTCTCCCAGTTGCGTCCGAAACTTTATAACCTTCCCCCTGCTGACACCCGTCTTTGGGGTATGCTCCGCCTCTTCACTAGAGCGAATTTTCCCCCAAGTGTCCGTCTCTCGTTGGTCAGCTGGGTAAAGAGGGTTGGATCTCCTCAGGCCGTCTCGCTGAGTCGGCACTTGGTACGCCTTGGCCGTACAGTGTTTTCAGTCTCTTCCATGTGAATCAGCGGTCTAAGCAATGCGACAAATTTCTACTGACGTCGCTCCTCCGCATTGTACTACAAACATTACCCTTCGTCTAACTTCTCCACTGTGAACCCAAGATAACTTAATACCTAAAAGTTACAAAAACCCTTGCCGAAATTCTACAGCATTACATGCAGCACGGTCCTCTGAAACGTCGGTGGATTGCAACCAGACTACATGACATCACATTCCAGAAGAGAGTACACTTCAGTATATTTATGATTTATTTAACTTCACCGGCAGCATTTCTGACGATACAATGCTGTAAAGCATCCACACCATTCATTCATTCTTTTATTAATCCTGTAGATTATGATACAATGATATAGGACAAGTCTTTCAGCTAATATACATTATTAAGTTATAAGAATCTTAATACAGAAAAATTATATAAGATATACAACATTTTATACATTATGTGCTGTATACTTCTGCTTATATCAGTAGCCAATATTCGCGAAATTGTTCAAATACTCCTCAGTTGAGTAATAGCACCTCGTGATAAGTAACTTCTTAAATTCCCTTATGAACTGGTTTTTGTTTTCTATTTGTTTTATATTGTAAAAGATACAGCCAGCTACTGAAGGATTACTATTATAAAGTTCTAAGCTGTGCCCATATACAGTCTTCATTATTTCTTTTGTTATATGTATGTACTTGTTCATTCACTGTGCAGTTACACTTTTTTTTTTTTACATATAGGATTGTTTCTTGTATGTATAGTGAGTATACTGTTAGTATCTTTAAATTTCTAAAGCTATCCCTGCATGATTCCAGATGTTTTAGCCCTGCAATGTACGTGTATCTTACTGCCCATTTTTGGAGTACAAAAATTCTTCTAGTGAGGGTCTTAGCACTATGTGCCCGTATTATTATTCCATATGATAGATGAGGCTAGATCAATCCATAATATGTTGTTCTTTCATTTTAATAGAGTATTTTACATAGCCTGTTAATTATGAATAGGTTACAGCTAATTCTACTGCAGGTTTTTTCAATATGTAATTCCCAACTCAAGGTACTATCTGTTACTACCCCCAGAAAATTTGTGCTTTTTACATTTGATATTTCCCTGTTCTTTATTAGTATTTTTAGATTACTTTCCTGCCTGCTTGTTTTGTCTGGAAGAGAATATAGTGAATTTTAGATGGATTTATAAATAAATTATTTGTCTCAAAGTATTGCTTTACCACTCCTGTATTATTTGAAGTCATGTTTTGTCTTGTGTTAGATGTGGGATATCATTTATATACAAGTTGAAGAGTAATGGGCCAAGGACCGATCCCTGGAGAACTTTGTATCTCACTGGGGGGCTACTTGACAAATATTCTTTCATGCGATTGCCTTCTGTGTGTGTTACTTTTATGTGTTGAGTTCTGTTTCTGAGATAGGATTTGATTAGCTTATGAGGTATACCACGAACTCCATATTTGTATAATTTATCCATGAGAATGTTATGTTGAATACAGTCAAAAGCTTTTGATAAGTCTATAGTACACAGTTGCATTTTATTTTATCATTCAAACTATCTAGTATGTTTTCAATAATTGTGGAAATTGCATCAATAGTAGATTTATTTTTCCTAAATCCCAACTGAGATGTATTAAGTATATTGTGTTTTTCTAAAAATGCTATTAACTGGTTAGCTATTACAGTTTTCAGAACTTTTGAAAGGGCAGGTACAAGAGTAATTGGATGATAGTTATTTGCATCTTCTTTTATCCCGTTTTTATAGATTGGTTTGACTACTGATTTTTTAAGTTTAGAAGGGAAGATGCCTTCTCTGATCGATGCACTGATTAATTCTAAGATTGGCTTTATTATGTAAGATGTACATTTTTTTAGCAGATATGGCGAGATGTCATCAAGTCCTGCTGATTTTTTATTCTTCATGTCCTGAATTACTTTAATCAATTCATTCTCTGTTATTTCTAATAGGACAAGTGAATCATTTATGCTTATATTGTTATTACTAGTTTGTGGATGTAATAATTTTTTGTCAAGTGTAAGTTTATTTACAGTTTCTATGAAGGTTTTGTTAAATATGTTACATGTTCTACTTGGACTTGAGACTATTTAATTTCCATCTTGTAAGTGTATATTACTAGTGAGTTTTTTTGGTAAGCCTCTTTCTCTATTAACAAATTCCCACAATATTTTCGAAGTGTTATTTGATCTGGTTATAATATTCTGAATGTAGTTTGCTTTTGCATTTTTTAATATTACATTATATTCCTTTTTATATGCTTTATAGATATCTCTATGTTCCTGAGTCTTACTTCGCATATAAAGGTTGTACAAATCCTTTAGTTTTGTTCTTGCTATTACAGCATCTTTTTATATCCAGGGGCTTTTTGACGTACTTATGGTATTTCTCCTTATTTTGGGACAGGCTATATTAAAGATAGTTAAAATGCTATAAAAAGTGTCCCATTTTTCCTACCTCATTTTCCCTGGACACTTCAATCCAGGTTTCAGTTTGTATTAATGAGCATGGACCTATTATACTGGCTTCTGATATATTCCTGACCTCTTTGTAACATCTTGTTTGTTGTGGTACAGACATTAATAGTTATACGTTGTGCAAAATGATATGAAAGTAGGCTATTTATTACTTCAGTATGATAGTATTTAGCTGGTATATTAGTTATGATTTGGTCTATAGTTGTAGCTGTACTTCCAGTTACTCATGTAGGTGTAGCTAAGGATAGGGACCAGTTACAGGCTCATGTGAACACAATAGCGAGCCATCAGATTTCATAAAATGCTTGGAATTTTTTGACTAGTTGAGCAACTGTTAGCTTCTCAAGGACTGACCTCTATATCATGGTTCTGTTCTTGGAGGAGAAATTTTGAGTGTATTTATGATTGTGAACCCACAAAAACGAAAATGCCTAATTTTATTTTCTCGTTCATGCTGAAAGTACATAGCAATCCACGTAGCCAAAGGAACATATCATAAGAGCAGTTGTTAACTTTCATAGGCATACTTAAGACCATGTTATCATAAAACTAGGCATAATCATTTGGCTACAGGCTAGCTGTCATCTCTTTCAGTGAGAATTCCTATGTGTTTTAATTTCTTTATACTTTCAGTTCATTAAATAGTGGACCTGACATACCCATACATATACATGTTTCAGAGTATAGTGAAATGTCTGTACAATAAATAAAAATATAACAAACTTTTCTGTACAGCAGTAGTGTTCTGCAGCCAATTTACTGTGCATCTATATGCAAAAACACTCCAGTACAATTAATAATTATATGATGACATCAGTAAGGTGAGATGAATCCATAAATAATGCACAGAACTGAAGTAACTGAAAAATATGTAATCTTCCCATTGCATATTGACCGGAGGGAACCAACACATACAGACAGTAAACTTAAATTGAAACACTACAGGTACAAACTTCACACCAGAATATGTATAGAAAGTGGAACATGTAACATTTGTCAAATGTATTTTATAACATTCAGAGAGGTAGCAGTATGCATGTCATTCCTGAGACAGTGTTGCTTTGCCATCAAATGACCTGAAGAATGTATACATTTTTTTACTTAAGTCTGGTCCAACCTTCTTCACTGTGGTGAGTGGTCCCACTCCTCGACGTATCTGCAAAATGCCACACAGTTTTAATCAAAGACAAATTGTGCATGAAGATTTGAATATAGATAGGAAACTGTAGGACCACCTTGCTACTGAGACCTTACATCATTGGACTGTGGGAATTCCTTAATCAGCACATTTATATGCTTTTACTTCAACAGTTACCAGACTATAAAATATAACTGTAAATACATTACATGAAATTATCGTTGATATAGACTGAAATATATATGTAAACTCAATGTACGTGTAATGTTCACACAGAAAAGTTAAAGGAAGAAACAAATGCAGCCCATTTTGAGCCGTGGGACTAATCTCACACCCAATTTAAGTGTGAAAGAACGTTTTATTCACTTGGTATAGACACTTAGAAGACTCATGGATGTTACAGAAAATTTACTATGGGAAATTATGGAACACTACACCACAGTTTATCCCCTTTCAATACCTTCCCACTCCATCAAAAAGAATAGTTAGGTAGCCAGCAGCTGAAGTAAGATTTGAAATCGGTACCTCATGAATACAAGTATACAAAATTACCAGTGGTCATCTACATATTTAGTAATTAGAAATATTAGTAAAGATACTTTAACATTTACCTGGATGGACTCCAACATGAGTTCCGATTCAGTCTCACTCGAACAATTCTCATATGCCTATAAAATGTAAAAAGCCACCTCTGTTAAAACACACAGTCCATACCCCTGAAAATCATATGTCAGACATACAGGTAATTCTTTTTTAAGAGAATCTGTGTTATGAAAACTACAAGACTGCTTTCAAGTGTTCACATAATTTTTCAGAACTTTTAGTGAACATCACTGATGCCATCTTCTAGAATAGTGTGTGTATGAGCATGTAACTTTATCCGTTTGGTTTTAGAAGTTAATGTAGAAAGTTAGTCCATCTTCTTTGTTTGTTTTCTGGATATTTATTTCAGTTGCTTCTCTGATGATGTGGGGATAGTAGTTATGAATGTTGGCTATGGTTTCCATTCTGTCAAAATGGACACTGGTTTTGGTTTCTACAAAGTGTGGTTGTTGATACCTTATAGCTGGTTTTCTTCTCTGGTGTTCCTTACAAATCTGGAAAATGTTGTACTCATATATTGGTTGGTTTGGTGAATGTGTACTTTGAGCAGGGGATTCACAAACTGTTCTTTTTGAAAGATTGCTGTATTCTGGGATGTGATGCCACATAATATAGCAGAAAATTACCAGTGTTTCAGAGAAACCTACTACCTACATCTTCAGAGCAGAAGAGCACATGGTGTCACATCTCAGAAGGCATTCATCTTCATACTCACCACTTCACCACTGTGAGAACATCAAATCTCACTTCATCCTGCTATGCATTCAACAAAACCATGGATTGGCTTTATTGCTGTTCACTGTTGTACAACTCACTTGTAAACCCACAACAGACAGTAAAAGGGCTTTGTACAAAAAAGATTGGATTCAGTATAAGTGCTCATTGCTATAAATGTATACTAATAATGTTCCAGTGAAGTGGAAGTACCTGTATTAGAGCACAAGGGGATCTGTAAACTGATGAGATTGCCTGTGCTGTCTCCATGGAAACCCGATTAAACTGACACAACTGCTGCTGCCAGAGTCTGAGGAGGCCATTACCATTCTTATCTACTCGAACACAGTTACGAGAATCTCCAGCAGCATACCACTCCAGTTTTTCTTGTTCTCGTTTCTGTTTCTCATGTCTACGAACAAGATAAGTAATTATTACAATTCTCATAACATTTAGATGACAAACAGGAGTTTATTACTGATAGTGTTTGATTGTCCGGGTTATGACACCATGTAGTCTGGTAAGTGGGTATCAACATTTCAGAGGAGCATACTGCCCCCATCTTCAGTGTAAATTCAACATGTTGCAAAAGCTTTGTATTGCATAAAAGGTGTCATGTAAAGCAAGATTCATGCTTTAGAATCACAATACGAAGATGTGATTGATTAAACTTTGGTGGTAAAAAGTAAAATGGTAGCATCCATGTGCTTAGGCATCAAGTTGTGAAGGCATGAAAGAATGTGGTTATAGAGTTTCTGACCATAGCAGTAGATGGTGAACAAGTATTTAGCTTCACATGCTGGACACCATTAAACTTCATGGAGCTGAACACTTCTTGAGAAACCACCAGTTGTGCAGCTACTCAAGAACTTCCCAACATTTTATGAAACCTGAAATTTCATTACCGTGCTCGCACGAGTCCTCCATTGGTCCCTATCCTAAGCCAGATCAATCCAGTCCATACCACCCCATCCTATCTAACATCCATTTCTTCTTTCTTGGTTTTCTTAGTAGTCTCTTTCTGAGTTTCCCACAAATATCCTACATGCATTCCTCTTTCCCATTCATGCTACATGCCCTGCCCATCTCATCCTACCTGACTTGATCATTCTAATTATACTTTGTGAAGAGCAAAAGTTATGAAGTTCCTCATTATTCAGTTTTCTCCAACCTCCCATCACTTCATCTCTCAAGGCCAAATATTCTCATCAACACCCTGTTCTCAAAAAACCTTCAGTCTGTGTTCCTCCCTTAATGTTAGAGACCAAGTTTCACATCCATACAGAACCAGAGGCAGAATTGTGGTCTTGTATATTCTGATTTATATGTTTTGAGACAGCAGACAAGGAGACAAAAGATTCTGGACTGAATTTCCACCTGAATCAAATATTGATTTATTACTGTTGTTCCAAAATATCTGGACTGTGCCACATTTTGAAAGCATCTGTTAGCTATCTATATAATGATTTTGCCCTGCATTTTGGTGATGAGACAGCAACATATATGTTTACTTCTAGACCAACCTCCTCACTAGCATCAATTAAAGTTTTTGTTTATGGTATGTGTTATCATCCAGTAGATTCACACCTTCAGCGTAGACCAGCTGATGTGTCCCATTTAATTTCAGTCCCACCTCGTTTTCCTGAACCTTTCTAATGGCATATTCTAAAGCAAAGTTCAAAAGCAACTCCTTGTTTTAGACCATTCTGGACAGGAAAATTATCAGATAAATGTTTACTCATATGGACTTTATGTTTCATTTAAACACATTTTAATCAGCCTAACAAGTTTCATGGGTACCCCAAACAATGAGAATATTGTACAGTACTTCCCTCCCTTCTCACTGAATCACAGGCTTTCTTAGAGTCTATGAATATATTTAGCATATTAAGGATATTATTTATTACCGGTGAGTACTTTCTGAATAGAGCACTGACCTGTCAAATTACATCCAATAAAAATATTTTACTAACTTGAAAGGAACCTCTGCAATAGCCTTGGAGAACTGCCTGATGAAGGTCCCCAGATCATGAGGCTTTTCCACCAGTCTGTGGGAGCAATCAGCAAACAGCTGAAGTTCTGTCAATGCAGTGTCAAATTTGTCTCGAGATATTCTTGGAGTATTTTCAAAGTTTTCTGTCTTCTTGCTGGTTTTCAATTTTCCTACTTTTGCTCGTACTTCTTGTCTCTTGGAAGAATTGTGGTACCTAATGAACAGACATATTTGTTAGTGTATATATGTGTGTGAATGCGCATCTGGCACACGTGTGCATCCACATGCAAATGCACACAGGATTTCCAGAAACTAATAACAAACATTTTTCACAGTTGCTTCCTTAGTTAAAGGAAAGTTGAAGATGTTACATGATAAAATAGTGTGAGGCATATGAGTGACTAGAGATGGGGTTTGGATTGGTTATTGGATTTATTGAACACTTACAGATCATAACTACAAGTAACTATAGCACTATCGCTCATTCACACACTCTGCAATTCCTTATAGCACACACTAAATCTTCTCAGCCTTCTGTTACCAGTTTTCTGGTAACTGCTTACAGTGGACTTTCCCCTTCCTCTGGGTTCCCTAAATATCCCCGTACCTCAGCTACCAGCTTCTAACGGTAACAACTCACAAGGACTGATCCACAGCAGTCCTCTAACTCACTCACTCACCAACCAACTCACTCCACTCCACTCACAAACTCTCACTAATTGTCCTGCTCGTAACATCTCGGCATGGACCGAGAACTGAGAAAATATCACCCATGAGACAAACACAGATTTGAATATAACAAATAATTCACTGTGAGAATATTCACATGAATCACAGAGAATTAGGGTGTGAAGGTATGGACTAAACTGAATTGGCATGAGACACAGTCCATTTGTGGGCTTTTATGAATGGAACCTTCAGGTTCCATAACAGCAGGGAATTTCTTGACAGCTGTATAAGTATTAGCTTTCAAATGGGAGCATTTTTTAACGTTACAAACTTTCATACATTGATACCTGCATAACTCAGATTTTTTCACTGACATTTCAATTTCTGCATACAATGGTACATGTAAGAAAGTACTGTAAACTATTAGTTATTCAATATCCAGACATCCACAATCTTCATCTAGCTGACAAACATTTCAAAGTAAAGTTACCATTTTTATGAAGCTATTCATAAACAAACTTAAAATGCACTTATGTTCTCCCATCATATGGTAATTCTAGCCTCCACCGATATTGCTATTATCTTCCCACATGCTGATGTCATTAGAGTAAAGCTGTGTTTGTTACAGTGTACGTATCTGAATCCTTTCACCCATCAGTCCACTATATGCCTAGGAAGCCTCCCAAACAAGAACAAAAGCAAAAATGCATTGAATTTCTGAAAATGTAACCAGTAAACACCATTCCCCATACACACCAGATAACAGGAAGCTTGACACATAATGAAAGTTGCTGAGCTGAATGCATGCCAGAGTGACGTTCTGTATAGGTTGAGTTCTGACCTGAAATATTGCTCTACACCATATACCACAAGTGTAAGCTTCTTGCCAGGCAGTGTAAGTTGCAAGGATTGTATATGGTTTGTGAGATCCACAGCATGAATAAGACGCATCACTTTCTCCCAGTGCCACACAATCAATATTTCCTCCTCCTCTTCCTTCCTGCTTCTTACATGCACCTAAAACATAATATAACCAATAAAGGTAAATGTAAAGTTGTCCATGTGCTTGATTAATTAAGTGCCACTCCATGAAGATGTATGGAGGAACAGACATACAGCTCTGCCATTCTTAACCTTATCACTAGATGTAGGTGAGTGGTCAGCTTCATGCCCTGGCTGCTTTACTCCTTGGGAAAGAATCCCCAGTACCCATTGGATAGGAGGCTGGGTGGGCCCCAGAGTCAATCTGGACAGAGAAAAATCTCTTGTTCCTGATGTGAATTGAACCCTGGCTATTCAACCTGTACCCTTCTGCTATAATGACTGAGCTACTCAGGCTTCTAAAGCAGTTAAGACCTTGATCATTTCAACTGCTGTCAATGTCATGCCATTAAAATAAATTCATCTTAAAAATATGGTTATTCCTTAACTGTTAAGCCCAAGAAACTGCACACTAGCATAGACTGACATCAATCATATCACCCAGAATATATCATCAGTCTGTAACTTCTGCAGCTTTAAAAATCACATCTTAATATACATTGTTTCAATAACCTCTGTTGTCTGTAGTCCACAAGCAAACTATACCGACTGAGCGACTGCCGCTTGTCGGCCAAGTTAGTGCCAACTTTAGCGGATAGAGTATGTAATGTGGTCAGTGCAACGGATCCCCATGGCCGTTAATCTCAGTTGTCTAGACCGGAGCAGCCATTTCCTTGAAACAGCTCCTCAATTATGTTTCACTAACAAAATAGCAAAATCAAAATCCATGATAATGTAATTTTCTGCACATTCCCAGACATATTATGTCTCAAAAGAACATTATTAATAATCATTTCAGCTCCTTTCTAAAATAAAAATAATTCAGTGTATAGGGTATGTGTATGCAGCAGTGGCAGATTATTAAATTCTACTTCAGTGAAGCAGAAAAATGTAAAATAAATTTTTAGAAGTGTTCTGTCTAGTAATTCTTTTATGTGTTTTTCATGAACTATCATGAAATCACGTGTAAATTTTGTCAAAATTAAAGGTGCAGTAATTTTTCAACGAAACAGAGAATTGATATAATGATAAAAACTCCGTCTCAAGTGCAAACAATATATTTTGTGTCTTTGATCTTGTTCCCCTACACTACATGTTTCGGCCTCAGACGGCCATCATCACGTGTATAACACTCACGTCGCTGTCACACTGCACCCAGCTCAAAATTTAACATTTAAAAACACTTTCCTTGTTATTATCNTTTTAAAGGTTTTTAAAATTAGAACTAAAGATTTTATTATAGTGCTATTACAACAAAGTCAAAATTAACGTGTGTAAGATAAAATAATCTACAAACCAGACACTAATTTTAAAGGTTTTTAAAATTAGAACTAAAGATTTTATTATATTTCTATTACAACAAAGTCAAAATTAACGTGTGTAAGATAAAATAATCTACAAACCAGACAGTTATCAACGAAGTAGAAGTTGATAATAACAAGGAAAGTGTTTTTAAATGTTAAATTTTGAGCTGGGTGCAGTGTGACAGCGACGTGAGTGTTATACACGTGATGATGGCCGTCTGAGGCCGAAACATGTAGTGTAGGGGAACAAGATCAAAGACACAAAATATATTGTTTGCACTTGAGACAGAGTTTTTATCATTATATCATTTATCGTATGGAGTGCAACAGGATGTTTAAATATAATACAGAGAATTCGGTCTGAACGTTTTCAGGGATTTCACAATAAAAGGGTGAACAATCTGTAAAATTTGTACCAATTTTGTGCCATTTTAAGTAACTCCTATACAACCACATTCAGTGTTTACACATAATTCTGCAATATAAGACAGCCTCGTTCTAGTTTTAGTAAGGTACATGTAGTATTCATGGAAAAAGCTCTAGTCTTAATATTCACCTCCATGTCTTCACCCACAAAATGCTCTTGAACCTCTCTGGTCCAAAATATGGAACAAGGCACCAGATTTGATTGTATATTGTACTGCATTTCTGCTGACTGTAATGATACTAAGATCTCTCCTCCATATTCTGCAGTCAGTAACTGCTGATCTAGACACACCTGTATATACTGCAAAGATAACACCAAAAATATATAGATGCAATTTGGTTTAAGTTTATGTACATTATACACATCAACAATACAAGCTTTCTGTTGGTCAGCTTTCATTTCAGCTTCATTAAAATCAGTTTGTTTTTATTATATCAAAAGATATTTGTATTTATATTAACTATATTTTGCATTTATTCAGCTCCATGAAGTTAGTTACATCTATTCCCTAACAAATATATTAGGAATCATCTTATTTTCTGCTAGCATAACTGACCAAACTAAATATGAAAAAGCCAATCCCGAAACATTCATGACTGATAGATTAAGTATGATTCAGATTGTATTTTACACTTACTCATGTTTAATTGATACTTCTTAAATTAAAATAAATGGCATAGTCTTGCTGTTCACATATCCACAAAGACTGTCATTTAAGAATGTTTCACATAGTGGATGCAGTTCTTTTGTTAACATATTTTGTAGATAACCTCATTTATCTATCATTAACTGTTCTCAGTTTCTTTGTTAGAAATATTAATACTATATATCTTCCTTTATTCATACTGTATTACTGTATATCCACTGATATCCCCTAAAGCCACACTAGCCCTATTTATATTCTTACGATGAGAAGCCTCTTTCCACTCATTCAAGGTTAAGTTTAGTTTGTAATGTACTATAACTCTTGAAGAGACAGGATTTGAGGACATCCTTTCTACCCTTTACACTTCTAATTTTCTTTCATTTATCATATTGTATAATGTTTTAAAACACAAAGGTATCATATTTAAAGAAAACTGAGTGCGAACATGATGGAAAATATGAAATAAAAACAAAGCCTGTGCTAAGAATGTGGTTTTGAGGGCAATCACACAATACCAATGATTAATGTGTGTGATAGCAGCACATTTTTAAACTACATGTACTACACAATTACAGAAAAGATTTCCAAACTTGCAGGTGTTATAAAAGTACTGAAACAAGATAAGGCATGTGAGTTAAATACACATTAACAGTAGCATTGACAAATGTCTAAAACTTTGCAAACCACTGCAGCATTAATGTCAGTACAGATTTAAACGTAAAGTAACCACTTACCTTCAGACACTCTCCAGGCTTTTTACAACGATATGCTTCAGCAGCTGCCATCTTCAGAGCTTTCTTTTGAGCTTGCTCAGCCTTCATCATTGCCCTATTTTTCATTCTTTCGGCTCTCTTTCCTTCTTTCTCAATGCCAATTACCGACTTCTTGGCTCTTTGTTTTTTCTGTCCCTGAACAGAAAGCATTTATAGTTTAATTGAAATTATAATATATATATAATTTGATATTTAAAACAAGTAGAAATTGTCAAAGGAAGGGCCTGCTGGATCTTTCATATGAGGTCTGATAATTTGTTATAGGTAAGTCCAGTTATTTAACTATTATCCTTGTAAATAGCCCCACCAAAGCTAATTAGTAGTAAAGGTAACACTGTCTACAGTCTGCCCTTATATGAAATTTATGAAGGTAGACTACTGAAAAATGTTTCAAATAAAGTTTGTATATTTCAGTGAATTATATGGTTTATAATATAGTTAATGTTTTACAACATTTTTCAAGAATTATAAAACATCTGCTTTGACCTTTGTGTAAAGGGTTTTCATGTTCTTTGGGGTATTCTCGTTAATTTTTATTATTATAACAAAACAATGAACAGAAACCAAAATGAAATTTGCCTAACATTTTGAGTACGTCTCTTATACAATTCGACTGAAAATCTCTGATGATGTTTAGGACATAAAATATGCAGATGGGAGTAGTGTAAATTGTCACAGTGCACATGAACGTAAGTTTTGGGTATAGGAAGTTTTTAACATTCTTGTCCAGTGGTATGGCATTAATTTCATTATTATTAAATTCAGCATAATGAGAATTTCAATACAATTACTGCAGTGACATCTACTTCCCTCAGCACATATTTATGAACAATTTGATAAAATTGGAGCTTATACTGGGCATGAAGATGCTGAACAAGAGTATGATGTTTGAGAAAACTGATCTTAAAAACTCAGACCTCTTCCCCTGTGGGTGTTGTGTTTCCAGACAAATAAATATATCACTCAAGGGAAGCATTCACCATTTTGTAATCAGATGAAGTGTATACCTGAACTAAGTTTGCTATGACTTTACTTTTTTACACCCTGGACCTAATACAGAACAAGCAAAGATATTACAACATTTGCTATTACTCTTGTGTAGTTTTTAAATTACCTGAATAAGCTTCAGATACTAAATTTGAGTGTTATTCATACTTTAAAGCACCAACTAATATATTGGGAAACTGCAAGAAAAGTAACACATCCCAATAAAAGAATGAGTATTTCTGCTTGTCTGCAATATACTGTAACTCTCCCAGTGTTTATGTTAGCATACCTTCTCTGAACAATCCTCAGCCAGAACATTGCCAATAGAAGGAAGCTGGTCCCTTCCTTGCATAGCTTCTCTCATATCTAAGTGACTAATAAAGCAGAAACAAATGTGTTATTACAAATCTGACATTGTATGTTGAGATGCTTAATCACCGTTAGTTTAAACTTTGGAATGCACCATTAGGAAGGTCAAAGAAAACAAGAAAAAGAAATGAAATAGAATGGGATCCATCTGCTTCTGCTCTACAATGATGATAATTTATTAGTGAAAAACATAAATGCCATAAAGAAAAACACGGATGCTCTGTTAGATGCTTGTGAGGAGGATGGTAAATATATGTTAATGTATCAATGCCAGAATGGGCAAAATCACAACATGCAGATAGCTAATGGTTCCTTTAAGAATGTGGCAAAAATTCATGTATCTGGGAATGACACTAACAAATAAAAACTGGAAAGTTCTGTCTTGTGGGATATAATGACATGTAGTCCAGCAAGAGTCAACCAACATCTGGAGGAGGATACTACCGCCATTCTTGTGGTCAAAACACAAGCTAAGTAGGCAGCAAACAGAGCTCTACTTGCTGTCTGCTTCATGGTTTCCATTGTGATTTTGCATATCTTGTTGGCCCTGAAGTTCTCATATTGCTGACATGACTCTTCTGGTGATAAAAAGTCTGTATTCCCATACAGATGACAATTGAATTGGTCAGCAAACAGTGTATTTAATCTATTTTTATAGTGTGCATCCTGTTCTGTGTCATAACTATGGTTAGGTAATGTATCTGTCAACACAACAAGGAAAACTGTATCACAATTAAAATCAGTACCTCATAAACTGAATAAAATGTTTTCCTGGTTGTGTTGATGGATACGTTACCGAACTCTATAGCATATTTAAACCTTTGACAAACTATGTACAAAAGTTGTTGTGGAACTTATTTCAGGTATTTCCGATGACCAGCATGCACACATCTCTTCAGATTTAAAAGCTATTCAGACACCAGCTGTCCTGACTGAGGCTTTTATGATTCTTCACAGTTCCTCTAGTCAAATGCCAGGATAATACTATGAAATGGGCCTTAACCAGTTCTTTCCATATCTTTCAAATCATGTGAAGCTACAAACTAATAAAGATATTGATACTACATAGAGTTATAAATTATTTTTCCTTATAATGTTATCTGTCTCATTGGCCTAGATGTTTATTCATTGCAATGCTGATCTGTTATTTGACATTAAGATTTATTTTCCCATATTCACTGCAGTTTTACTTTGCTGTTACTGAACTGGTACTAGAATGAATTAGTTAGCAAATAATGTACTTCAAGCCTGGAGAGACTATGAATGGAATTAGAAATGGAACTCTATTCAGGGTGTAACTGTAACCAACACCGAAAAGTTATTCACACTGTAGTTATAAAATATAAAAAATACTAACTACACTAACAGTAAAAGTTTCTAATCAAAGATGTAGGTCTCAGTGTGAATCATATGTGATGTGTACAATCTGGTTTGTACATTGAGCCTTTTTATTTTTTTTTTAATTTCTTATTTAAAAATGCTACCAGTATGAGGATAACATTTAACTTGTCCTATATCATGTATAATGATCCATGGATATGAAGTAAATAAATAAATAAGCATAGCACCAGTGTTGTAATGATTAATGAATATGGAACAGCTGGAATGAGAAATGACGAGGGAAACCAAAAGCACCACAGATCCTACATGGCTTGACCTAGGATCAAATCTGGGCCGCCACAGTGGGAAGCCTGCAACTATTCCCATGTTCCATATAATCAGTAAACTTTGAGCTTTTGTAAGATAGCCATTATGTCTGGCCAATACAAACCCAGATAAGAATATGCAGAGCCTCAGCATCAGATTTCACTAAAATCTGATCAGTAGCTTCAAAGACAAAAGTAGTGTATAAGAATACATTCACTCTCCTCTGTACAAGCCATACATAATAAAATCCAATGTATCTGAATCTGATACATGTAATATTCACAAATATCATACATCAAATCAATGATAATTTCCAATTTATTCAATTCCTTGTGAGCAATTTTAACTATTGAAAAAATAAACGAAATACAATACCTTTGGTCCAAGTCATCTGTGTATTAAGTTTACAAATAAATAACCATTATAATACTACTTACAAAAAAAATGAAACTAATTCTGACTCATTTGCTAACAACTGATTGTTACTCAGATAGGCATAACATAGCATGTGTCCTGTTTTTCGCTAGATCCATTATGTTTCAATATTAAATGTTAATTTAAAAATCCCCCTCCCCTTCTAATAACCACTTAAAGCTAATAAATTCTACATACTACCTATCATCAGAGCCCTCACAGTCCACCAACTGTGTTTCTCTCCAAGCTTTATGCAAGACACCAGCGGAACAGCTTCCTGAAATATCGTTCCCTCGACTTTCAGTCTTCAATACCAAGTCGTTTATAAAATTTGGTGGTGGATAATAATCCACGATAGTATCACTTCTAGCATCACTGTCAGAAAATTGCACTTCAGGACAGTCCATGGTGGTGTTGGTGTTAACCTTGGGTAACGAAGAAGTTGTGGATGAATCATGATCAACCTCTGGCGACTTTCTCACATTAATTGGCATATAATAATCTACTGTAATGTCACTTCTGGCATCACTATCAGAATGCTGTTCATTACTATAATCTGGTGTGTGCTTGGAATGAATTCCATGCATTGGAGAACTTGGTGCACTGGATTCACTTGATACCAAAATAACAGAACTGTCCATTTTGGGGCCACCTTTTCAAATTAAATACCTGAAAATAACCTCAAATTATTAAAAATTCATATTCATTTCACATACTAGTAGATGTGCACAATATTACGAAGAGTGGAACGTGAAAAACATGACAACCGTAATTAAACACACCTACCATGTGCAGCTATAGTCAAATGGCACCATTCGTAATACAACCGCAATAACACATATCTAAAAGCGCAACTTTCATATGCTACACCCTGCTGCCAATTGATGTTAACCTGTTAACTCTACAGTGGTACCGCCAGTTATGACCGCGTTACAACCCTGTGCGTTCGGCATCAACATCAACTCTTACGTTTTGAACGGTCGGTGTACATTTAAACGCGTTTAAACGGTTAAGAAGTGCCACCGTCGGCGTTCCTCCCATAGTGCGGATGTTGCGTTATAAATTACTTTCTTATGCGTTCAATATATATATGAAATTACTGTGCTCACAAAAAGAATCTATCTGGTTAGTTTAACGGACTTCCACTCTCTTCTATCCCCTACATACGAATACGAATGCCCGTTTTCGGCTCTATGTCCAGGGGTGGGCAAAATAGTGGAAACACAACACAAAGAAATTGAGGAATAGAATTTGTGTTGGCTACATTGAAGGAACTTCAGTTGGCAATAATGATTGTCCTTTCGTTTTCCTTGGCTCGCTAGGCCCGCTAGGCTCTGGAGCTGGAGTTCTGCGAGGTCTGTGAGCGGAAGCGTTACTAAACGGATGACACCGGCAGAGATTTAATAAGGCATGGAGGCTGTAGTGTAAATTCATGTTCGGTTTAGTTTTTTGTGACGGGGCCATCTGAGTTGAGTTTAGATTGAGAATTCAGTTGCGTGTGTTTGTTTTTTATTGTTTAAAATGGATGATGTCGTAGGTGTTGAAGAAGTGCATCTTTCAAAAGGAATAAAGCTAACCGAAGGAATCGATGTGGGGTAAGAACTGATATATGTGAATATAAATTGGAGATCTTCATGGTAGCGTTTGTGGTTTGTTGGGTTGTTCAGGCTGTGTAAGTTTCTACGTATATATCATCATGCTGTTTCCATTTTTTGAGTCAGCCCTGGAAATCATGGCATTATGGCCCTCCAGAACATTATTAACTTCCTCTACGACTACGTAGTGTTAACCCAAGAGACTACGGAGTATTCTGATTCATGCGAAATTATAGTTGTTCCGACTTAGGTTAACTAACGATATTGATAAGAGTCTCAGAGAAACTGACATTAAGCTAATCAAGAAATACCATGCCTTCTAAAGAAACAGAACCTGAAAGTTCATTGCCATGTTCACAGGAGTCTTCACCCGGAATGTATCCTGAAAAAGATACATCTAGCAACCGGACTGTATCCTGAAAAAAAAATATATAATCCACTTGCTCAAATCTTGCCTGTTTAAAACCCATTATAATATTTTCATTCCATCTACACATAAGTCTCTTAAGTTGCCTCTGCTCTTCAGGCTTTCCAATTTGAATTGTATGTGCATTCGTAATCTCTTCTATGTATGCAACATGTGCTGTCTATCACATCCATCTCAGTTTTGTTGTTGTACCAATATTTTACAAGGAATACAATTTAGGAAATAAATAAGGTAAAGTTATCCCTGTAACAGGCCATGAAGGCCCATAGGGTTGTGAGATGTCAGGGCTCCCACATTTTCAGTAGACAGTTGGCTCACAGATGGCGGTAATGTTGTCAGCCTTATGCACTGGCCGCTGTTTACCCCCAGGAAAATTCCTGGTATTCATTTCTGTTAGAGGCTGAGTCGACCCCAGGGCCATAGTGTGGAAGGAAGGATTAGGTAAATTGAAATAAATCTGCCTCATTGGGACTTGATCCCATGACCTTCAGGCTCGTAGCCTAGTGCCCTAACCAACTATGCTACTGCATGCCTCTAAACCTATTACATAAGTTTCAGCAGTCTCCTGTTACTCCCTCTCTCTTTATCCAGATATTCATCTCGGCACCCTGTTATAAAATATTCTCAATCTGTGATTTTCCCTTAAAGCACAATGGTGCAGAAAACTATGCAACTTGTTCGCAGTGGTTGCTGCATTAGATGCAGTAAGCTGATGTAGTTTCGCTACTGAAGCAGCATATAGCCATTCTCTCAGTAATCATATAGACTCTGAACATGGATGTTATGAAAAATTTAATAGCAGGTTACTTCTTTGATTTCTATTGCATACATTTTTAGTTCTACAGATGCATTACTATTACTGTTGTAGAATCTGAGGTTCCCACAGGAGTGGTTGTGAAGAAATTATCATGTTGGATATGATGGCATCTAGTCTCAGAAAATAGAACTCTTCACCACTATTATTGTTTTATTTGTATCAAAAACTTGCTACTCAAGTATAGGTTTTGCCTGTTTAAATTAATTGGATATAACCTAAAGATTTCTCACTGACTCTGTGTTTATAAGGGGCACTATGCTACAAGCTGGAAGGTTGTGGGTTCGATTATCCATGAGGTTCATGGATTTTTTTTTCAATTGACCATATCCTACCAGCCACACTGTGTCCCTGGGGTCGACTTAACATCTCAGATAACTGAGTACCAGGAATCTTCATGGGGGTAAAGGGCAGCCAGCACATAAGGCTGACAACTTCACAACCATTGTGAGCTAATTGTCTAGAAATATGTGGGAGCCTTGGCAACTCACAACCCCATGGGCCTCCACAGTCTGTTACAGGAATAGTGTGGTGTATAGAGGTGACTGTAAACATCAGCCATTATGAGGTAATGCCCGCACACAACAGTAGAGGAGGTGTCATGATACGTGACGTGTACAACCATTGCTATGTGGCTCCAGCAGCATACATGTGTGCAGTGATGTCACACAACAGTAGAAGAGATGATGCAGAGGGCATTCTCTGTGGGTCTGCTCCAAGGCCATATGATTCAACTGATCATGTTCTGTTCAGTGAATGAATGCAGCACAGTTGAGGGTTCATTTGTGGAGTGTGAGCCAGTGAGCAGCAGAAGCTGAAGAGGCTCCATTGCTAAGATTCGCTACCAGGAAATGTCTAGCAAGACATTGCAGAGGAATAGCCAATGTGGGGAGCAGTTATCAAGTAAAGACTAGTGAAAGTAGAGAAGACTTAGTGTGGAGTGACTGGCTGTGCCATAGCTCAAGCGGTTAGTCACTGGCTTCCCATCGCAGTGGCCCGGGTTCGATCCCAGGACTGGTCAAGTGGGATTTGTGGTAGACAAAGTGGCGCTGGGGCAGGTTTCCTCTGAGTACTTCGGTTTCCCCTGCCAATCTTCATTCCACCAATTGCTCCACAGTCACCCTGACCTATCATCTGGGGCTGGCACAGTAGGCCAGAAGTGGCCGCAGTACAAGTGACTTGGTCACACCCCACTAGCATTAGCGTGGAGTGATTTGTACTGTGGAAATCAGCAATAGTGTTAAAGTTATTTATAATTACAACCTGTAAGTGGTCAGTAAATCTGTTCACCAATCCAAACCCCATCTGTAGTCACTAATACACATGACAGTAGCTTTACTTTTTACCTATGGCTATAATTGCTGACTTACAGTACTTCATACATAATGGATAGGATGCCACATAGTAGGATTCATATCTCTCGATGTTTGGTGAGAATGAGTAGGGAGCTTCAGGAGTTTTGCCAATTTTTTTGTTCTGCATACATGTATAGCTGCAGCATTTAAAAACTGATACCAGAATTGCCTATGTAGGAATAGAGCGGAACTATTTCATAAAAATAAATTAATAAAATATGAATGGAACTGTTGTACACAACTTTTTTCCCCCAAGAGCAAGAGCTACTTTTTTGACAGTAGGGAATTTGATTCTTTTGTAATATTTGAAAAAAGTTCTGTGTAAACATTTTGGTAACAGAAATACCTTCTTGGTACCTTTTGCTTTTCCTTTCTTTGCCTCCCTCCATACACATGAAACAGTTGACTTGATTACACAGCGTGCTTCATTAGAGAAATCCAGTCTACTTCATTATTCTTCAGACACATCTTTTTTAAGGAAATTATACACATTAAAAACACATTTTGTGAACATTGCTCCCATAACCACTGGAACTACCATTACCATGTGTACTCAGCTTTGTAAGCAATATGTTGTACTCAGACAAAAATAATTGACATATACTGTATATTACGCATTTAAGTTCATTAAAATGCTAAAAGTTATAACACAAAAGTGCAAAATACTTGGCCCTGACTAAAAGAAAATGGCAGAGCTTGAATGTGCCACTTGTAACACTGGCAAAAGATAAACCAATAAGTTATATCCTTTCCTGGCCCTGGCTTTCTTGTTTATATTATCGAGACCAAAGTGGCCAGCTAATGTGATGTGAGATAATACACTGTTCCACAAAGTCTGAAAGAGATAAATAAAAGAAAGAAGAAAGCAGCAACACCTGCATTGTCTGAGATAGAGTATAGACATGTTTTAAAACATCACATTGCTTAGAAAGCTAGAATCAAGGGACTGAGTCTTTTCAAAACTATGCTTTATCAGGTAAAAATAAAAAATNCACATTGCTTAGAAAGCTAGAATCAAGGGACTGAGTCTTTTCAAAATAAAAACCAGTCTTTGCCTATGTCCTGGACTTATTGTCCAGGAAGCGCATCAAAATTAGGTCTTTCTTGGATGAATACAAGAAAGATTTAAAAAGCACTAAAATGCTAACCACTGGGGCTGGAAACATGGGCTTACTTTTGCACATTCAGAAAAATGTGGCCCTTCACCTAAACATGTGTTTTGTTTGAGTTCATGAAAAGTTTGTCGGAGCACGCACTATGTTTGATTTTGAAACTTGCAGTGACAGACTTGAACTGGGCAACACAGCATGTCTTGTATTGGCTAGTACAATATCAGTGGCCACGTGTAAAATGTGAAGAGGATTGAAGCCCACTGTAGCAACTCTCACAGCTCTAGCTCCAATCTTTTATGTTACTGTTGTGTGATGCGTCCATCCCCCCAATTTTGGAAGCTTTTGAAATGCTACTTTTAGCATAGTTGTTGGCCTGATTTCCTTTTGAGTTGTGCAGTGGCTGTCATATTGGCTGTTGCATGCTCAGGCAATGGGAAAGATAATTTCTTCCTTTCGAGATAGAGAAATTCGTGATTATTGTGCAGTAGTAACCAGAAAAAAAAAATAGATTTTTGCCCCTGTCCATTTTTGTCTTTGACAAGTTTTAGAAGATAAATTCTTTGCACATATTTTTGTTTGCCATGTTTCCTATAATTTATTTATTTTTCTGTAACATACTAGTGGAAACATGGAAACAAGTATTTTTGTCATCTGGAATTTTTCTCGTCCATTCAGGGGACAAGTAATTTAGAGCACTAGCTGAAGAATTTACCAGGGATTTTCAGTTTTATGTATTGTAACATGTGGTCTTTTATGTGTGTGTGTATTCTGAATTTTAGATCATGATTCTATCTACTGGTATGCAGTTGCGACATACAGGTACTTGAGAATTAGGTTGAAGGTGTGCATACATTTGTAGATTTTGTCAGTATTAAACCGCTTGCGGAAATTGCTTTCTAAGCTTAGTTTCTCTGTCATGTTCACTGTTGCAGGAAATTAACAAACCCATCAGGCACAACATTTGAAGTAGACATTAATGATGGTGATGTCAGAAATGAAACATCCTACTTTAATAAAGAACAGTTGCTGCAGTGTGTTAACTATGATTGCATTAATGTTGACTCAGATGAGGATGATGCTAAGTCGGAGCCAGGAGTAACTCCTTTTCAGAGAATGGCTTCAAAAATGATAAGTTTAACAGAAGATGGAAAGATTAAGAAACGGGTATGTTACTTATTCTTGTTTGTGATATTCATTAGTTTTGTTTTGTGTTGTGTTGAAAGTAGAAATCCTATGATTCAGTTAGGAGGGAAGTGTTGTACAATATTCTGATAAAGTTTGGGATACCCATGACACTAGTTAGGTTGATTAAAATGTGTTTAAACGAAACATATAGTAAAGTAAATTTCCTATCCAGAATGGTCTAAAACAAGGATATGCTTTATCGCCACTCCTTTTCAACTCTGCTTTAGAATATGCCATTAGGAAGGTCCAGGGAAATCAGGTGGGACTGAAATTGAACGCGACACATCAGCTGTTGGCCTATGCCAATGGTGTGAATCTACTGGGTGATATATAGATACCATAAAGAAAAACACACAAACTTTAAGTGATGCAAGTAAAGAGGTTGGTCTAGAAGTAAACACAGAGAAAACTAAGTATATGTTGCTATCTCATCACCAGAATGCAGGGCAAAATCATGACATAAAGGTAGGAAACAGATGTTATGAAAATGTGGCACAGTTCAGATATTTGGGAACAACGATAACAGATCGAAACCTGATTCAGGAAGAAATTAAGAGGAGCTAGAACTCGGGTAATGCTTGCTAACATTCAGTCCAGAACCTTTTGTCTTCTCATCTGCTGTTCAAAAACATACAAAATATATGAAACTATAATTTTGCCAGTGGTTCTGTATGGGTGTAAAATTTGGCCTTTGACATTAAGGGAGGAACGTACACTGAGTGTGTTTGAGAACAGAATGCTGAGGAGAATATTTGGACAGAAGGGAGATGAAGTGACAGGAAGATGGAGAAAACTGCATGATGAGGAGATTCATAACTAGTACTCTTCTCCAAGTATAATTAGAATGATCAAGTCAGGGAGTATGAGATGGCCAGGGGTAGCACAAATGGAGAAGAGGAATGTATAAGGCTATTGGTGGGAAAGTCAGATGGAAAGAGACCACTGGGAAGACCAAGGCATAGGTGGGTGAACAATATTAAAATGGATCTTAGAGAGATAAGATGGGATGGTATGGATTGGATTGATCCGGCTCAGGATAGGGACCAGTGGAGGGCTCTTATGAACACGGTAACGAACCTTCGGGTTCCATAAAATGCTGGGGAATTCTTGAGTAGCTGCAGAATTGGCAGAAGAAATCATTTAAATTAAAAGGAACCAGAAGCTACAAGAATGTTAAGTTTCTTAGATTGTTGCATCAGTGATTTTATCTACATCTTCTTAGATATTGTGATTTGCTTTAAGTTTGCAGCAGTTTGGGAAGATGCAGAGATAATTCTGTCTTCCCAAATTGCTCTTATATAAAATTCATTTAATATACAGTTTTGGCTGCCAAATCATGAGTGTGACACACACACAGTTCCTTTAATCTGAATATGATTAGTTACACTGGGTTGTTGAGTTATTCAAATATTGATTGTATGATCTTGCAGGAGATTCGACCAGGGATTGGGTGTGTAGTCCCAGAAAAAGCTGTTGTAACAGTCCATTATAATGCTTATGTTGAGTACAGTGATGAACCATATGACTCAACGTGGTTGCGTGGATACCCTATGGTAGGTCGTCTTGGTCAGGGTTTCATTACAGGCCTTGACATTGCCATTGCTTCCATGAAGAAGGGTGAGACTTCAAGGTTTCTTATACATCCTGATAAGGCTTATGGAAAATTGGGCTGTCCACCAAGAATTCCACAGAGTAAGTCATAACTGCCTGATTGATGTTATCTGTACAGTATTACCTGTTAAGATTATGTAGTACCAATTGATGGATAATTGGTTTGCTGTAAGTGGGTTTCTGAGTAGGATTGTCAGCAGTTACACTGGAGAGTGAAGGAGAGGGTGTTGTGGGTGTTGTCTAGCAATAGCCGATGTGTACAGATTCAGTGCCTGGCAGTGGGTCTAAAGGCCACAATATAGTCTTTTGGTATTACATCCTGTTTGTGGTGCTTAAAAATAAAAATGAAGGGGTTACTGTCACACAAATAAATGTTTTTAATTATTAACTCATGGAACATGTTCTGACACATGTAGACTGTTGTCAGTTGATTCTTGAGGAATATGCAAATGGTGACAATACATATAAACTACAGTGCTAGTGTAAAATTTTGTTAATTATGCTACTATTGTAATTTGTATTTTGTCACTATTCGTGTATTCGCCTGATGGTGACCTCACTGGCCCAAAACGTGTTTTGAGTTGATTAATTAAAAGATTTGCTTGTGTGACAGTAAGTCCTACATTTTTATTTGCAGACTATGTAGCATCGAATTCTAGGATGGTAAATGATTGGAGAATTGGAAATTATTTGGAATGAAGCTGTTGTGTCTTAATTGAGATCCTATCTTGAAAATTTCATGGAGGGGCTGAGGAAATCTATGAAAAGCCCCAATCAGGGTAGTTTGGTGTCTTAGCTGAGATTCAAACTGAACAACTACCAAAAACAAGTCAAGAGCATTGTCACTGTGCCAGCCTGTTTGGTAATTGTAAACAGTGAAATGTCTGTTGTGACTGAGACACTTCATGGCTCCTCAGAGTGATGCACAAGCAGCTAATCACAGGATTTGATACAGCTTCTTGTGAAAATGTCTTCACACTTCTTTTAGAGGTAACTCATTCAGTTGTTAATGCATCTGCAAAAAAGAAATTGTTGTATTGTCATATTCTTAAAAATAAAGTAAAGCTATTTACAGATGTATTTAATTAAACTTTATTAATTTTTGCAGTAATTTCTTGTAATGTTTGCCTGTTGTGATAAGTGATTAATGTTAGGCTGATACTTGCCCAACTTGAAACGTTTATGTTTTATTCATTTTCAAATGTCTTTATGGCAGTGGGCTAGGGCTGGACGGCTGGAGTTCGATTCCTGGCGGGGACAAGATTTCCCTCTTCTCTGTAGCTTCCAGACTGGCTCTGGGGTCCACCCAGCATCATATCGAATGGGTGCTGGGGGGCTCTTTCCTTGGGGGTAAAGTGGCTGGAATGTGAAGCTGACTACTCACTTCCATCTAATACCAAGGTCAAGAATGATGGAGCTATACCTCCACTCCCCAGCGTGTCTTCATGTGCATGGTGCTTAATTAATTAAGCACAAGGAAAGTTTTTTTGTTTTGTTCCGTAAGGGCTGATTCTTATTTAACAAAGCACTGTGGACTTTTTTTCCAAATGGAAGTTATTCTCACTTGATGATTTGGTTGTTTGTCCAGTAATTTCCTCATGGCATTAAATGAATTCTGGTGATGACTTTAAGGGCACATATTTGCTACTGAATGTTTACAATGTGGTGTACACATTCAGTAACAGATAATACACTGTTAGTTGGTGGCAGAAGATTTGTACAGATAGGTCTGGATGTTTGCCGTGGTGGTTTGTTGATTGTTAACTTATCTTGAAAAATTACAAAAATACTAATGACATAGCTTTAAACGTCATTAACACTGGTGACCTAGGACACTTTCATGCACTTCCGAACTGATTTGGCATTGTCCAGAACTGTCACACAGCCTTGAGTAAATTTAGTGAACAGATGCAGCATTTCCCAACATATATCCTTGGAATCTATTGGCTCATAAAAGTCAAACTTCTCGCTTGTCTTCCTGTGTGTACAGGATGTCTACAATGAAATTCCCTAAGTTTATCATATTCTCAGGAAGTAAGCAGTAGAGATATGGCCTAATTATTGACACATATCAGTTACACAACACACAGAGTTTAATCTAAAAAATCAATACACTTCTGTGCGAGCACTGTTGGTGACATGTAGGATATCTAGTCTGTAATTGAGTACCACTCAGGTCTGCTGCAACATGTCTGGAGTGGTGGTACTGACAACTTCCACAATCTGAGCCTGGAGGTTTTGAAATTCTCACACCTTAGTGGCATAAATTCTGTCTTTCACTTAGCCCCACAAAAAGAAATTCAATCACATGATGTCGGGGGGATGTGAAGGCCAATCTGTTGGACCATCTAGTCATATCCAGCAGCCTGGAAATGTTGCAATCAGAGCTCGATACACAGATGGTGACCAGTAGGGTGGAGCTCTGTTTTGTTAAAGAAGACATCTGGCTGCAGGTGTTCCAGCTGAGGAAAGGTGTAGAGCTACAGCATGTCCGGGATTGAGCTGCCTGTGACAGTCTTCTGCGCAAGAAAAGCAGTCTAATGAAGCCACACCAAACGTTCACTTTCAGGCTGTCTTGCACCTGTTCCACGATGCTTTGCAGTTGCTGTGATCCCCATGTCCGAACATTATGCCTGTTTACAGCACGAGGGACATGAAAAGTGGCCTAGTCAGAAGACATGATGTTTGATAGAAAGTTTGGGTCTCTGCCGATTCGGTCAAGCATGTCACAGGCAGAATTATGTTGCCTTGCGATGTTCTCTGGTTTCAGCTCCTGCAGAATCTGCTCCTTGTATGCATAGAGACACAACCACTTTTGAAGAACCTTATGCACGGTTGCTCATGGCATCTGCAGTTCCTGTGAAGCCCACCGAATTGACTTTCTTGGACTCTGGATGAATGCGTTATGGACTTTCTCTGCTTTCTCATCGGAGATACATTGGCCACCTCCATGCCCTTTCAAGACACTCCCCGTCTCCAGAAACTTGTTGTGCCATGCTTTAATCCTCTTCGCATCTGGTGCTGCTTTGTGATAAACACAATGAAACTCCCTTTGCACCGTCACAATGGACTTAAACTCAGAAAACCACACAATAGCACACTTCTACTCCTGAGCTGATGCCATCTTTGCATGAAATGATTAGTGTATCCCAACAGTGGCCCGTGAGGTAGCCTGAAAATGTAGATGGAATTTGAACTCTGTAGTTTGCAGGAGACCCTTAACACCTGAAAAAATCTATTTGCCTTATTTTGAAACATCTTCAAAATCAGGGAATTTCATTCTAGACATCCTGTACATTTTTCTATTATTGCTATCCACCCTGTTACCATTACATGAAAAGCAGCCTCCGTAGTGTAGGGGTAACATTCCCACCTCATGACTCAAGGTACACGGGATCAAACCTGGCGGAGGTCATGTAATTTTTAAGGGCGGAAAAATTCAGGGAACAAGTCCTCTGGGAGGGACTTTAAGCCGTGTGTCCCGTGTCGTAGATTTATGGCACGTAAAAGATCCTCATGTCTCTAGGAGACTGAGCAAAATTAGGCAAAAGTTTCCCGCCTAAGTAGTTTCCAATTCCTCCGGTAGATGGGGAAGTATCAGGGACCACTGCCAGAGAGGGCCGATCTCGCTGGAAGAACAGGGCTGATAGTGAGCACCAGTACTGGAAGGGCATGGCGACTGTAGAATAATTAAAGGGGGATGCACAATAGATTAACAACTAGTCACAGTGCATGGGGAAACCCACCGCCTCCAAAATAATAATACCATTACATGAATGTTATTTGATTATCCATAAAACTGTGGTGTGAAGCATGGGAATGCTGCCACAAATAATGGCAAATGGCATTGCTTTGTGGCATATTGAGGGAGGGAGATAGGTAGATGGGTTACATAGTCCCTCCCAAAACTTACCTCCTGGATTTATGGCTACAGCTATGTAAATATCTTTGAGTTTTACACAGGCATATGAATACCATAAAAATGTTCAAAATGAAATCTAGTACTTTCTAATGATGATGTAAGATTGTGCATTACTAACTGATAATGATGCACCATCATTCCTGGAGTAGATGTAGTATATGACCATTCAGTTAATAGTTTTTATGTTACAGATTAAAAAAATATGAAAATGTATAAAACTTCAGTTTTACCTGTTAATTTATGCTGAAAACTTAATCTCCCATTCTGAAGGAATAATTGAGAGCTTATTTAGGATAGGCCCCAAGGATATTTATGTGAATCTTTGAATTCTGTAACAAGGAATGTCTTGAACAGCCTACAGGCTGCTGTGGAAGACCAAGCCCTATTGAGCAAGTCATTGTGACAGTAGCTGTGAGGTATAATGCAGATGTGTTACATTCAAGGAAATAGTGAAGTTCATATTAACATTGCTGTAATTAAAACGAAAGAAAAATCTCTCCTCTGTCAGATGCTGAGTTGCTGTTTGAAGTGGAGTTAGTGAAATTTGTAGATAATGCTGCAGCTGAAGCTTTTGAGGCTCTCAGCTTGGAGGATCGTGAAAAAGCAGAGTTCAGTACGATTTTGAAGGCGGCACAAGCAGAGCACTCAACAGGCAATGAAATGTTCAAGAAAGATCAGATTGGTGGGGCTGTAAACAAGTAAGTATGAACTTGCCTTAGGGATATCATGGATTATTTTCTTTAGAAATATTTAAAATTTTTAGCAAAACGTGTTTACATTCAAACTCCCAGTTCATGTTTCTTTTGAGAATAGTGGATTTGTGTACTAAACTGAGGGTATAAATGGAGGTAATTTAACATTGACGTTATTGACCTGGGATCATTTAAATTGAACATTAAATGAGGGGAAAACTAAAATTGTGGAATATTAAATATTCTACATGTTAGTATTGGAATTGGCCAGGTTTGCATTTCATTAAGAATCTGCATTGTGGATTTAAATCAACATAATAGTAATGTTGTATTTTAGCGTCCTGTTGCACTGATCCTCGTCCATGATATATAAGCAATGTCCGTCTTTTAGTGCACTCAGTTTTATCTGTTACCTGTTACTTCACAACATGTTTCGGCACTACAGTGCCATCATCAGGTGCTCTGTTTACGTCAATTTATTTCATTGCCTGCCATTACGTCATTGTTAAATTTAAAAAATATTTTAAAATGTTCATCAATTATAATAAATACCCGCAACCAAACAGGGAACACGCAACACGAGACACGATATACCCTGAGAATAAGAGGAATGACTCCCATAGTGGTGAAACTATGCGTGGTGTTAGANAGTTAAGGCTATTCACAGTCAGTTATACTGAGTTGTACTGTAACAGTCGCCGAGTCAAGACGTAAAGTCAGCCAGTCAGTTGTATTGTGGCATTTGGAGTGTACTAATTGTGATACTGCAGATAGCAGTAACCGTATATCTGTAATTTGGGTGATTGTATGAGCGAATGTGAAATAAGATTCGCTAGATAAAATACATCGTGAAGTTATTTGTCGCGATATACGCCCGACACGCGACAGTATATATATTTATTATAATTTATTAACATTTTTAAATACTTTTTAAATTTTACAATGACGTAATGGCAGGCAATGAAATAAATTGACGTAAATAGAGCACCTGATGATGGCACTGTAGTGCCGAAACATGTTTTGAAGTAACAGATAAAATTGAGTGCACTAAAAGACGGACATTGCTTACATATCATGGACGAAAAATAAAATAGTGTTTAATTATTTGTTTGAATACCATTATGTTAATGTTAATACACTTTATTAATAGAAAGACAACCTGGAGCTTAAAATCACAAAGAGAACAAAGTCATATTGCACAGATCCATCCATGTCTAATAAACTTTACTGCTTTCTTCTTCTTTGCTTGAAAAGCTGGGTAGATTATCATGCCTCCCAAAGGGAGTCATCTTCTGTTCTATCCATGCTGTTTCATATTCACTGCTTCTTGAACCCATGGACAATTGACTCAGATGATATACTTCTAAGCAGTCTTCATCCACTCATGAGCAATGTCTGCAGTTTCTTTATTTTCATTGCTGGAATTAGTGAGTAGTTTCTATATAGCAAAAATTAATTTTAGAAGTGATGATGGTTCTTGAATGGTTTGTTAACTACCACATCAAGAGAGGAGTGTTTGGGTTCTCATATGGTTTGTTACTATGTGTAGTTTCATAGTAGTGCACCTGGTGATCTGAGCACAACTTCTGTTAGTCACTGAATCATAAACCATTTGGTCATGCAGCCTTTGTTGCTATATTTCATATAGTAGCAGTGGGATATTTTTCCTGCGTAAAATGAGAGATGACATAAATCTCTGTCATGCAACTTTTTATGATTTATTCCGTTTTGTAAAATTAGAAGCAAATAGTATTATGCAGGTGTACTTCATAATTGCAGATACAAAAAGGCTGTCAGCATCCTTGAGAATTGTCACTTGAAAGATGAAGAGGAGGAAGCCAAGCAGCAGAACATGCTACTCAAGTTGTATATCAATCTGGCAGTGTGTTACAACAAGCAGAAAGTTCCCAGACTGGCATGTGTCATGTGCCGAAATGCACTTGTCATCCAGCCAAGAAATGTCAAAGCCCTTTTCAAGTAAGTTTTCTAGTCTTTGTGAAATTTGTCTACTGTAGAATGTGACAAAAGTTTATATGTTAAAGTGAAATGTTATTAGAGCGAGTAAAAATTTTGCTTATTATAGTGTTACATAAATGCTTAATTTGCATGAACTGAAAACAGATGTATTATATATTTTGTTTCTTAAAAATAAAAGTTACTTTAAAATTTTCACCTGAATCTTCTCTTCAGTATACATGGAAAGATCAAAAAGTTCCTGGAATTCAGGCATCATTTTTAGTGTAAAAGATATGTGAAAAAAAAATTGTACACAGCAGATTTTAAGAACTTTATATGCATAAACTGCATTAAGGCCTACAGGAGTTTCCACTGCTGATTTCCCTTTTCCCTTTTTACTAAAGAACTTGGTTTTCAACCACTGTTCAGACTGAGATATTACAACAAGAACTGGTGACACATCGACTCCACAGCCGACTGCAGTGCTTTAACAGGAAATATGGGTACCTTAGCATGACCAAATTTGGGAATTTCATGATCTTTCCTCATACAGGATGTTTCATGAGTTTATGGTAATACATCAGGAGCTTGTTCCTGAGGCCATTCCTAGTTAGAAATGTTATATGATTGTGGGTCTGATTTTCAGTGGTTCAGTTGGCATTTGAAGTTCATGGATTATGTACATGTAGTTCTCATCAGTATAGAATCAAGATAGTCATAGGGATGAGTTAATTGATGTGTCATGTGCTGGATTTGACTATGGATATTGATATGTAGGAATGTGATGGAACCTCATTCCCTAGAGTTGGCCAAATAACTAGGAAGCATATAAATTGAAGGGTTACAAGTCATATAATGACAACTTTCAATTTTAGAGCAGTGGAGTATTGATTCTAATTTCCCCCCCCCCACACACACACACACAAGTGAGGTGTATTCAGAAAGTGCCCAAAATTTGTCTATAAATAATATTGTCGCGTATCGGGCGTATATCGCGACAAATAAATTCTCGATGTATTCGATGTAGCGAATTTTATTTCACATTCGCACTTACAATCACCCAAATTACAGATTTACGATTACTGCTATCTGCAGTATCACAATTAGTACACTCCAAATGCCACAATACAACTGACTGGCTGACTGACTCTGAATACAACTCGGTGGCTGTCACAGTACAACTCAGTACAACTAACTGTGAATAGCCTTCGCTGCGCCTCATGTAGCCTCGATCGGACCATACGGAAAACGGCCGCGTAATAGGCACCCTTTTTGCCTGGCGCTGTGTTGCTATGTAACGCTAGCGGAGGTCACCGCTGTTACTATCGTAACGTCGCCGCTGTTGATTCGCGTTGCCTAGCGACCGCGATATCCCTCGGTGACGTCACCGCGGAGGGGAGTGGCGGGGCGGGAACTCGCCTATTACACGAGCGTTACGTTACCGCTGGGGAGGTAGGGGTCAACATGTCACACTATCTTTCTCTGCAGCAATGCATCTCTCCCACCACCCTTTCAACTTTTGGAAGCACAGTTCAGAGGATGTTTGTGGTATCACCTTCATGTCATTTGTCACGTGTAGTGATGACGTGTTCCACTACCTGAAATCATCTTCTTTAAGGGTAATTTTGAGTTAGGGGGGGGTTGTAGAAGGGTAGGAATGGAATGTTTTGCTGAGAAGTGTCTGACAACACTGTGTGAGTATGTGCATTATCATAATGGAGGAGCCAGCTTTCCACAGTCCACATTTCAGGTCTCTTTCTTTATACCACCTCTTGTAGACGCCTCAGAACTGGAAGCTAAAAATCTAGATGAACTGTCTGACCTTCAGGAGTGGATTTATACTGCACAATGCCTCAGTGACCAAAAGAAAATAAGAAGCATTGCTTTCACTCACAGGCACACCGCTCTTCCTTTTTGGAGCAATGTGAAGTACAACACTTCCAGTGTGAGGACTGTTGTTAATTTCAGTGTCATGACCGTAAACCCACATTTTAACACCGGTAATGGCATTTTTCAAAAGATTTTCCTCATTCGCTCGGCATAAATTTTGCTGAGACCCAGTGCATTCCTAAATCTTCTGTTATAATTGTATGGCTTGAACTAATGTATATTCCAACTTCTTCTGCAACTTCTCCGTCAGTCAGTCAGTTAACAGTTTCAGTGGGTAATGTTTTTCATGTGGGAAATCAGATTTTTGGATTTTGAAGCTGAAGATCGGCCGCATTGCTCATTGTCATCCCTACAAGTCCTTCCATTCTTAAAATGTTTGAACCATTCATAGGTCATCATGTGACACTAGGCATCATCACTATAAGCTTCACACAACATGTTGTGGGTTTCTGCAGCTGTTATCTCTACTTTCAAACAATCTGACACATATTCTTCGCTTTACAGATTCCACACTGAACAACACGATCACAAAACTGGTTATAAAAACTGAATTGAACGTCTGATCTACTTGGACTAATTTGGCTTGTGTAACTAATGGTCAGGTTGCAAGGTCACTGAAACAACACTTAATGTGAGCAATGCACTGCTGCTCCATGCCCTAAATTTAAGAACTTTTTGAACAAACTTCATATGCACGTGTGTGCATTCTACCCTAGTTGTCAGCCCTCAGTAAAGTGGTGATTGCATTTATAACTACATGTGTTGAGGATATTAGGACCTGTAGCTAGTGCGAGTATATGAATTGCAGAGTTATATGAGGGTGAATATTTATCTTCTTTACTGGCACTACAACCCTGTGTGAGCCTTGGCCACCACTATGGCTTCGTAGTAAATTTTTCTGAAAGGATCAGGAACTACACTTCCTCTGGTCCCTACACTTAGACCTGTCTGACATCGGTGGCAAGTCCTTAGCAAGATACTGTGTTGTTAGACCTTTTAGGACATTTTAATTTCTTACAGTGAATTCCCATACCTCTTTGTTATAGATGCCCTGAGCAAATCTCATGCCAATTGCTCCCTGTCTGACACTTTTTCTAGAATAAAGGCTAAATCAAAATGACTTTGGCCGCCACACAGACTGAGACAGAAAGAAAGTGAGGGATCGATACAACTTGTATGATGTGCAACAATCTGATTTAGGCAGCTACAGGAAGTAGCAAACTGATGTACTATAGTTCTGTTGTCATCTCTTTTGTCGTGCCACACTTGATTTTCTGGAACATCATTACCACTAGTCCCCTATGCAGTCAGATTCAGTAGTACAGTCACAAATAAAATCAGCCTTGTTTACATCAATAATTGCTGTGACACCGGCAGAGAAACTTGATTTTGAGATGACTGAAACCAGATCCATAAGGTTCAAGATGTCAGTTCTTCATCAACTGTGTCCCAAAATCGAATATCCTCTATGTAGTGTCACTTAGTTAAAGTACTGATTGCTCATTCACTTTAAGCACAGGTTCCCTTGGTCTGTGGTTATGCCGCACGTGTATGGTCACAAAGGTAACTGTCAGTGCAAAAGAAATTAAATAGTTTAAGATGTTTTAACAAGGCTAAGGAGTGCATTGCACTGCACCACAATAAAAATGATTGATATTAATGTAGTTTTTGTATTCTGCAGCTTTGGAAGAGCTCTTCTGATGTTAAGTGACTTTGATCAAGCTAAGCATTTCCTGATCAGTGCTCAGAAGATTGAGCCACAAAATAATGAAATCTCCAATGAGCTGAAGAAGGTTTGTAAGCAGAAACTTATCTTCAAGCATAGCTAAGGATGAGGTTTTGTTTGTTAAATGGTTCCATGGAAAACAGAATTAACAGGAATTAAAAATGTGTTTCTAGGAGTATGTTCCCAATTATTATATTTCAGATATTTAGAACCTGACATTGATATTGCAATATCATACACCATTTTTATTAGAACATTCTGTGAAAGTTACTAATACAATAAAAGTGATCTCGGTAATATAAAAGCAGAGTTGTATAAATGTACAGCATACACTCACCAGGTGCACTCCACAGAAGGTATTATAAATAACATTCTAATAGTCATGCTGTACCCATTACTTTGAAGAAGAGACAGTATATCTGATTTGATAGAGAGAAGTGATATTCTGGGATTCTTTCCTTGTAATAGAAAAATATCAAATTCATCTGCAATTATTCACTTTGTTAATACTTATTCCATTTGATTTCAGACCCGATATATTTGTTGTATAAAAAGAGGAAGGCTGTGTTTAAAATACTTTCATTTATTAGTGGTTTTGATTGAAATTGTCAGTTTTAGTTTATAAACGATCATGGAAACTTAGCATTCACGAACTGAATGTTAAAGAGCAGTAACAGAGCAAAGATACCAGCATTGTTGTACCACATGTACATTTCCTGATTCTGTTGTTGTTGTTGCTGTTGTTGCCAGAAGTTTATGTCACAATTGAAATATGGTGTGTTGTCAGATTTGTTAAGGAAAAAGAGAAATAAGAACAAATAAGCCTACATTTTTATAATAGCATTTTTCAAGGAAAATAATGGTATTCTGAACTTGCAAAATTCACTGACGTAATACCGTATGAGAACTGTGCAGTTAGGAATGCCTAGTATTCATATAGGCCAGGAGTCAAGTGTGCTATGCAGAGATGTGAATGCACTTTTAGTTGCAAGCATTAACCTGTACTTTGGGAATAATAAGATAGGACAGTTAATTGTGGCTGCTATGTAATCTTGAGGTAAAAAAGTAAAGTTGTCCCTGTGCTTAACAAATTAAGCACTACACCATGAAGGCATATGGGGGAGTTGATGTATAGATCCACACTTTATTGACCACAGGACTAGTTTGAGGTGAGTGGTCAGCTTCATGCCCCTGCCACTTTACCCCTGATACCAATTGGATAGAAGTCTGGGTGGGCCTCAGGGCTAGTCTGGATGACATGGAGAAGAGAAAATTCTTGACCCTACTGGGACTCAGACTCCAACCCCTTGGTCATCTAGCCTGTAGCAAGTCGCTATACCAACTGTGCTATCCTGGCTCCTATAATCTTGAGGTGTGGACTGTTTATACAGGGTGTTTCACGACTTTAGGGCATAACTGCAGGAGGTTATTTCCAACGTCTTTGTGATCAAAAAAGTCCATATAAACATGTGTCTGATTTTGGACAGTTACGGAGTTATGACCGTTTTAAACTCAGAATAGAAGGTAACGATTACTGACAATAAACGGAACAAAATAATAAACCAGCATAATACATGATACATTTAGAGTATGAATGTAAAGTTAACTTCGTGAAATTACCTTTAATTTGAATTGATTGGTGCTTAAAGCTGATTTTCGAAAATGTCACCGCCGGCCACAACACAGGCTGCCGCTCGGTTGTGAACCACGCCGGACATACTAGCCCACCCCGCTCTCAAGTGTTGAGATAACGAGAATGCTCTGTAGCTGGCTAAAAATAGCAACCTGCCAGCTGACAGACACGGTTCATACAAGGGTGTGTACGGGAATGAAAAACGGTCATAACTCCGTAACCGTCCAAAATCGGACACATGTTTATATGAACTTTTTTGATCACAAAGACCTAGGAAATCACCTCCTGCAGTTATGCCCTAAAGTCGTGAGACACTCTGTATTTCTGCATTTGAGTTTTGTGCCTGGTGTGCCTTTCCATTGTGTCTGTAATGCAGTCCTGCTCCAGGGGCTATTCTGACTTATAGTTCAGCCAACAAACTCTCAGTTATCCATGATAGTGAAGGACAGAAATAGCATAGGTGATTAAAAACAATGTATAACCCAAAAATCTGGAAATACCCAGTATCCATATTTCATTCAACCCTGAAAAATCCCTTAATTTTGAGTATTATTTACGGATCATGCTACGGGTCACTAAATAGTGAGACAAATATCTTTCCAATAGAATTAACCAACTCTTGTTCAGTGGTAGTGGAATGTATAAAAGGCAATAGAATGAGAAAATAGAAAGTTGCAACAGCGTGAGAAGATGTACCGTCTACTCAGAACTGTTATAAGGAATCACTGATACATGTTACTGAAACAGGTGTAATGGACAGCACTTAAATGATTGAGGTATGGTCGATAGCTTAGGGGTTCTGAAAGTTCTGCAGTCATTTTGCAAAGTGGATCGTCTGCACACATATACTGAGAATTTGCTGTAATGCTTGCAGTTAATATAATATTAAACAACTTGTGAACCAACAGTGCTTGCTGTGTTTTGTTGTATATTTTCACCGCAGGTTTCTTTTCTCTTTCATTACCAGTTTTTAATATATACATTCTGGAAACACTGCATCTTAACCATTGTAATATTATCATTTGCAGCTTGATAAGAAACGGAAAACTTATGAGGTTGACGTCAAAATATTTTCCCAGCGCTTGTTTAGTGGCACTTCAGGAAAAGTTGATAATGAGCCTAAGTCAAAGGTAAGAGATTGAAAATTAAACTTTGCTTAATTATTAAGGAGATTCTTCTGAAACTAAGTGCACCAAGAAGTAAAGATATGTTCATGTCTCATAATCTGAATGCAGTGTCATTATGTAAAGGTATCTGATAAATCTTTAAAGTATGTGGGAACAAAAGAAGCAAATCAGAGGAACATTCAGGATGGTACCAAGACCGGGAATTTCTCATACTGTTTAATTCTGAATTTCTGTCTCCTGTCTAAGACAGAAAATACAAAATTATAATTTTTCCTGTTGGTTATGGATGTAAGATTTGGTCTCACACCTTAAGGAAAGAATTTACACTTAAATGGTTCAAGAACAAAACACTCAACACAATATTTGTATCTAAAAGAGAGGAGTTGCAGAATTACGCTCTTCGTCAAGTATTTAGAGTGATGAACTCAAGGATGATACTTAATCCTGTTTCAAGAAGAGTAGGGCATGAAGCTTGTATGGGAAAAATGAGAAATAATGTTTCAGTTGGAAGATCTGAATGGAAGAGATATAGGGATACATGGGAGGATATTATTAAAAACAAATCTTACAGAAATAGGTTGGGAGGATAGGGACTGGGTTCATTTGGTTCAGGGTAAGGACTTTTGTAATAATGGTAATTAAACTTCAGATTCTGTAAAAGGTGGGGAATTTCTTGATCAGCCTAGTGACTATTTACATCTCAAGAAAGATACTGCTTCGTGGAATAAGGTGATTGGTATTTTTGTCTTTAATTAAAACTGTTTTTTATTAGAAGTAGTGGTATTTTATTTGTTTTCCCAGAAATGTGTAGTCTCAGCAGAGTTTGAAAATTCTGCAAGGAAATTCCTGACAGAGTTTGTTAACGACAGTGAGAAAAGCCAGATGCCACTGCCTACAGGATTAACAGCACAAGAAGAGTTTTGCATCAGGCAGACTGCTGAGCAGCTGGGACTGATTATTCGCTCACAGGGGCGAATTGGAGAAAAATTACTTTATATATCAAAGCCTGAACCTGAATGAGGTAATGTCACACATTATTTAATTAATTGTCTTCATCATGGATCTGTGTCAAGGAATTTGCATATAGGTCTGTTTTCCCATTGCTGCTGATGCCTGTTTCAACTATCTTCTTCTTGAATAATAAATGTCTTCTCTTCCACATAATCAATAATTCAGTGTGTACTGTGTACAAGCCGTAAGGTCGCGGGTTCAAGTCCCGATGAGGTCATTGGATTTTTTTTCAATTGACCTAATCCTTCCGGCCGCACTATGGCCCTGAGGTCGACTCAGCCTCTAACAGAAATGAGTACCAGGAATTAATTAAATAATTTTCCTGGGGAGTAAAGTGCGGCTGGTGCGTAAGGCTGACAATCTCACTGCCATCTTGGAGCCGATTGTCTAGATAATGTGGGACCCTCAACGTCTCACAACCCTACGGGCCTTCACGGCGTGGTACAGGGATAGCTTTACTTTTTTACTTACTGTTTCCATGTAGTTATGTAAATTTGAATGAACCAAGACATGAGCAATGTTCTCAATCTGACAACACCTTTAACCCTTTTGATCCAGTGCTTACAAAATACTCTCCTGCATCAGCCACATTCTGTCAGTATCCATACGTTACTTGAAGCTGCCATGTGCAGCCTCCTACAACATAATCTTTAACCCATGCTGTATTTTAGAAATACAGCCCTTCATCTTGTTCATATTTCCGTGTCAATGGAAAGAGGTAAAATTTTCATGGGGTGAGACTGGGAGAGAGTGGTGGATGGGGATCACTTCAGTACTGTGCTTCATGAATTGCTACTGTGGGATGAATTGGAAAGCACAGTGCTCTGTCAGATCCATACTAACATTATGAATTTTATTTGTTTCTACTTTGTGATGTTCAGAGTATGCAACATCTCACATTGCATGCAAGGTGTTCCAGGATGTATGCTGTGCAGCTTATATTCTGCTTCAGTCTGTGATGTCACATGAATGCCTAGGACCAGGATGTTTCTTGTTTGCTGTGCAGTGTCTGAAGCATCTGTGCAGTGTTCTTATTGCTGGTTTTTCGAATCGCTGGCATGGTTTTGTGTTATCTACCTGCCTGAGGAATTTCTGTACTCTAAAATATAGGGTTCTGTACTGGGCCACATAGATCCATGCTCATTGCTCTTATCAGGGCAGGCACCAACCCTGCCCTCTCCATGCACCCATTAACCCCAAGCCTCTCCTTGCCTCTTTTCTCCCCTCACCTCCCTCTGTTGTTATTGCTATTTTTATCCCTAAACGTGTGCCTACAGTGCACACACGACATTTTGCGCACCCTCTTCAGTTCTCTGCCCAACAACACACACTTCCCTCTCCCCCAAGTCCACATATCTGCACAACTGGCCCTTTTCTGGGACAAAACCTGTTCACTCTTCTCTTGTCTGCTAGTTATTCAGCTTGGTTCTATGAGAGAGCCAGTGGGAGCTGACAGTTGGCTGACTACTTCCCTTCTATTTCCATATAATCCAACATTTCTGCAAACCACATGCTCTATATGCTGCCTGCTTCATGTTGGTTTCTTGCTTGACTTATTCCTCTGAAACATTGGTTCACTTTCACCGGACTACATGGCATTATATACCAGATAATAAAAGTTAATTTAGTGGCATTATTGTTTTGCTATTTTACATTTTTTTGGCCATAGTCCAGTTTAGTTTTATCACTTGTTTTAATTTAACATTATATGATTGATGCTTATTTTAGCCAGATCTTTGTTTTGTACACCTGTCCTTTTTCTCATCAATCATAATACTTCTGTAGGCGTTTTGTGTTTTGTAAGTTTGTAGTTGTAAGGATTAATGTTGTGATTTATTTTGTTGTTTTCTAGGGGCCTGAATTTTCAGCGAGGATGAAGTCTTTTACCATTAACTGATTAATGGTGTGCTACAGAGTTTTTTAGTGTAATGTGTATGAACTCTTTCTGTGGGCTTGGTTTCCTTGAATTAGAAGACATGTTGGACTTACTCAGTACCAGTAAATGTTATCTTTTGTTGCACTACTGCAGAGGTACAAGTAACATCATGAGAGTACAATCTTAACATATGTAACTCCTCAATATATTTTCATAAAAGTATAAAAAATTTACAGACTGTTTAAACTTGTAAAGCTAATTTATTCATACTTTATACACACACACATAGTGTGTTATGCATCTGGTTTTGATTAACAATTTTGTAAGCTTCTGAATTTTCAGTATCTAATTGTATAGTGTAGCGTGTAGACTCATCACTAGGTAGTGACCGTGGAACAATATTCACTGCTAGGCAACAGATTCTTAATAAGCAAGTATATGCAGCCCTTACTGAGTAATGCCTTTGCAAACAGACAGGTTCTCATTGCAAGGAGTCCAGTGCAACAATAGAGGAACTATTAAAAGTGGTGTTTTCTACGTGGTCTGTGCTGAGGGTTTATCAGTGGTAAGAGTTTAGAGTTTAGTCAGTTGTAGGGGAGTCTAAGAAGAGAAGACTTAATCGGCATAGTTGAGAGCCAGCAGGCAATGAAGTAAGCATGGAAGCTGAAGAATCTCCATTGTTACAAGCTGTCATTAGGGAACAGCTTGTGAAGGCACAGCAAACTGAAAAGGTCTAGTGTGTGCTGTAGTGATTTGTAAAGCATAGAGATTACTGATGGGGCTATAATTAAGTGCAGTCATGAGTCATGTATTAAAGTGGTCAATAAGTCCAATTCAAACCCTTTCGATAGCCACTCCTTCTTGTGACAGTAGATTGTTACGTTAATATGTTGAATCAGAATGAAAATGCCCAGGAAGAAGTGTTAGCTTCATGTTAGCATATAAGTTCCCTTTGGAAAAGAAAGTTTTCTTCAACCCACTCCTTAAATATGGGTAGGAATCCCTGCAGTCTTACATGCCATATTATTTAGAATAAAATTCTTTGCACAAGTTATGTTTATTGAACATGAAACAGTATGAGAAAACTGTCCTATCTGTAATTCTAAGATGGAGTACTTCATGCATTGTGGCCCATGCTTGTGGAAACATACTCCAGGTTCATGATCAGGTTTATTTTCTCTGTAGATGTAGTGATTTTTGTATATCTTCTGTAATGTCTGTATGTAGACAGCAGGAGTAGTAATAATCCCTACATGAGGTATTGCAGAATCCTGAGTAGAGTTATAAAAGAGGCTAAAAGGCAGCATTATTGTAGGCTTATGGCAACATTGAATAATCAGATAAAAGCAACCTGGAATATAATAAAACATGAAACAGGAAAATCACATCTGACTGAACAGATACCATCTCTCCTTATAAATTATGAAAAAATCGAGGACCCAGGAGAAATTGCAGATGCCTTCAATACTTTTTTCTAACAATTACAGAAAATCTAAACTTGCATCAGGAAGTGGGAGATAATGTCATTTCATTTTTAAGAGAGGCATTTCCTAGAAAATTCCCTGGTATTAAAACCATTCCAACCACTGAAACTGAAATAAAAAGTAAGAAAAAACTCTTCAGGTAATGATGGAATAACAAGTAAAATTTTCGAAGTTTGTGCAGCTCTAATCAGTAGCCCATTAACTCGCATCTGTAATCACTCACTATCCACAGGAATCTTTCCTGATCATCTTAAGATTTCAGTAGTAAGACCACTATAAAAAAGGGCCAATTTCACTGCTAACTACTTTCTCTGAAGTACTTGAAAAGTTATGTACAGTAGGTGAAGCCATTAGTTTTAGAGTAACAATATACTAGTCCCAGAATAGTATGGCTTTAGGAAAGGAAGTTCCATTGAGAATGAAGCCTCTAAGTTAACAGACTTTGTGTTTAAAATGTATTAATAAAAACATGCATGTTGGTGGAATATTCTGTGACTTGGCAAAGGCTTTTGACTGTGTAAATCATGAAATTTTATTAACTAAATTACATTCTTTTGGCATTCAAGGAACAATGTTAAGTTGGTTCAGATCCTACCTAGCAGATAGAAAACAAAAGATCGAAATAAAATCATAAAATTCAATCCGAAGTACCTACTCAAACTGGGGAATAGTAAAACATGAAGTTCCACAGGGGTCAACTTTGGGGCCTTTGCTTTTCATAATTTATATAAACGACCTCCCCCCTACATTAAGGACTTCATCAATACCTATAATATCTGCAGATGACACTAGTTTATAATTTCTGGTAAAAATTTAGATGATATCTGCATGTTATCAAGCAAGGTTCTTTTGCAAATGAGTAAATGGTTTTCTGCAAACAAGCTGTCCCTGAACCTAGAAAAAACAAATTAATAAAATTTATTACAAAAAACTCACAATATCCATTAAACATAGGATATAATGATAAATATATAGAAGAGGGAGTAAACACAAAACCATATTGATCAGTTGATTCCAAAGTTAAGTAGAGCATGTTATGCAGTTAGATTCATGTTACATATTAGTTACATTGACACACTCAAATCAGTCTATTTTTCATATTTTCACTCTTTAATGAAGTATGGAATAATTTTCTGGGGTAATTCATCTGACAGTAAAAATATATTTACATTGCAAAAGAAAATTGTTAGAATTATGATGGGTGTCAAATCCCATAATTCATGTAGAGATCTATTTGAGAGACTACAGATCTTAACTTTGCCTTGTGAATATATATATATTCATTAATAAACTTCATTACAAATAACGAAGAACATTTTCAGACAAATGCGGATGTACAAAGTGTTAACACAAGACACAAACCCTGTCTTCATAAACCAATTGCTAACCTCTCATGCTTTCAGAAAAGTGCACATTATGCTGGGATCAACATTTTTAATAACCTGCCATCTGATTTCAAAGGTCTTATGAATGAAAAGGCACGATTTAAAATAGCACTGAAACTATACTTAAATACACATTCACTCTACTCTGTTGATGAATACCTGTTGTCTAGAAAATAACTTATGTATCTTTAAATATCCTTGTGTGTAGTCACTGTGTATTCTTGGTTTCTTTTGTGTGAGAACTCCATTGGGTCTGTACATATGTTTTGTATTTATATGACATATTCCACATCCTACAGTCATTTTGACTAACTCTGGATCCATGGAATGCAATGTAATGTAATGCAGGTTTCATTATTAATATCAGCTGGAAAGGATAACATAATTTTATATTTTTATATTAAGTTCAAGAGCTGATCCTTCTCCCAAATAATCTGTTAATATTGACAGTGACTGAGTGAACAGATATGGTGATTATATAGCAAACTGGCTTACATTTTTTCTTCAGTACCTGAGCATGATGTACCAATATTTCCAAAGTGGTAGGATTTTTGTTTAGCATCCCTGGCTAAAATGCGTTTGTGGAGCGAATCTTTTCATTCATCAAAAGTAAGTGGAGTGACACAAGAAAGAGATGCTCAACAGATTTAATCAAGGCAGAACTCCAGGTGACAGTGAACTATGAAAGCAGGTCCTGTTAAGAATTTAATATATTTTCAAAGGGTGATGTTCAATTATTAAAAAGTGCTAAGAGTTCAGTGAAATACAATTAAGAGAGTCTGATCAGCCAGCCCTTGAAAGTTATAAATATGTATTTAATATTTGTGTGTTCTACAAATGTGTGCTAGGTAATATTTTGTACATTCTATAAATATTGTGACGTGGAAGGTGTAGTGGGAGGTGGGGGTCGCCTGAACTCTGTGATCTTGCTGTGGCCCATCGCCTTCGCAGTTGGCTGTGCTTTTGCCGTCATCGTTTTGTGTGATGTCGCCCTTGCGATAGCTGGTCACTGGGCTTTCGCTGGGCGGTCACCCTCGCCGTTGGATGTGCTCTCGCCATCATCGTGTGTAATGTCACTCTTGCCAACGCTGGTCACTGGGCTGTTGAGATCGTCGTTTGCTGAGCTATATCACCCCCGACGTTAGGTGTGCTGTGGCCATAGCCATTTGCTGCGATCTTCTCACGTACCCATCTTCTGATCCACTCGAAGCAGCCGTCAGTGGACCAGTCTCGGGAGTGTTTCGTTGCAATTGGTTGAAATGCAAATTTTTGCTGGCAATGGATTTTAATGATGGAGGTACTCCCAGTGGAAGGTGGGGGTCCCGTGAACTCTGTGATCTCGCTGGGCTATTGCCCTCGCCGTTGGCAGTGCTTTCGCCGTCGTCGTCATGTGTGATGTCGCCCTCGCGATCGCTGGTCACTGGGCTTTTGCTGGGCGGTCACCCTCGCCGTTGGATGTGCTCTCGCCATCGTCGTTGTGTGTGATGTCGCTCTCGCCGCTGGCTGTGCTCTCCAAATCGCTGGTAACAGGGCTGTTGAGATCGTCGTTTGCTGAGCTATCACCCTCGACGTTGGGTGTGCTGTGGCCGTCGCCATTTGCTGTGTTCTTCTCACGTACCCATCTTCTTCCCCACTGGAAGAAGCCGTCGGTGGACCAGTCTCTGGAGTGTTTCGTGCCGTCTCCCGTGTATTCTGGGTAACTCTTGTCATAAAAGTCATCGTCGACGTCCAAATCGTTTTTGACGCACAAGCATGTTCGGACCCAACCAAAGCAGCCGCTGCTTGTCGAGTCTCGGGACAGTTTTGTGCTCTCTCATAGTTGGTCATGAAGAGCGCCGCTGTAAACTACCGTTTCGGCGGGAGAACAAGCATGAATGCTCTCCGCCCCACGCTCCATATCCAAATCAGAAAGATGTATGATTACAGACATTTTCGTAGTTCCTTCACGTTATTTCGTAGTCAGTCTTCTCTTGCGATTGGTTGAAATGCAAATTAATGCTGGCAATGGATTTTAACGATAGAGGTACTCCCAGTGGAAGGTAGGGGTCGCGTGAACACCGTGAGCTCGCTGGGCTGTCGCCCTCGCCTTTGGCTGTGCTTTCGTCGTCGTCGTCGTGTGTGATGTCGCCCTCGCGATCGCTGGTCACTGGGCTTTCGCTGTCTTTCGCTGGGCGGCCACCCTCGCCGTTGGATGTGCTCTCTCCATCGTCGTTGTGTGTTATGTCGCCCTCGCCGCTGGCTTTGCTCTCGTCATCGCTGGTCACTGGGCTGTTGAGATCGTCGTTTGCTGAGGTATCGCCCTCGACGTTGGGTGTGCTGTGGCCGTCGCCATTTGCTGTGATCTTCTCACGTACCCATCTTCTGATCCACTCGAAGCAGCCGTCGGTGGACCAGTCTCAGTAGTGTTTCGTTCTCTCTCCCGCGTATTCTGGGAAACTCTTGTCATAAAAGTCATCGTCGACGTCCAAATCGGTTTTGACGCACAGGCATGTTCGGACCCAACCAAACCAGCCGCTGCTTGTCGAGTCTCGGGACAGTTTTATGCTCTCTAGTAGTTCGTCACGAAGAGAGCCGGTGTAAACTTCCGCTTCGGCTGGAAAACTAGCATGAATGCTCTCCGCCCCACGCTCCATATCCGAACCAGAAAGACGTATGTTTACAGATATTTTCATAGTTCCTTCACGTTATTTCGTAGTCACAGTCTTCTCTTGCGATTGGTTGAAATGCAAATTAATGCTGGAAATGGATTTTAACGATGGAGGTACTCCCAGTGGAAGGTAGGGGTCGCGTGAACTCTGTGATCTCGCTGTAGCCCGTCGTTGGGCTGTCGTCCTGGCCGTTCTGTGCTTTCGCCGGCGTCGTCGTGTGTGATGTCGCCCTCGCGATCGCTGGTGACTGGGCTTTCGCTGTCGTCTTTAGCTGGGCGGTCACCCTCGCCCTTGGCAGTGCTCTCGCCGTTGGATATGCTCTCGACATTGTCGTTGTGTGTGATGTCGCCCTCGCCGCTGGCTGTGCTCTCGCCATCGCTCATCACTGGGCTATTGAGATCGTCGTTTGCTGAGCTATCACCCTCGACGTTGGGTGTGCTATGGCCGTCACCACTTGCTGTGATCTTCTCACGTACCCATCTTCTGATCCACTCGAAGCAGCCGTCGGTGGACCAGTCTCAGTAGTGTTTCGTGCCGTCTCCCGTGTATTCTGGGAAACTCTTGTCATAAAAGTCATCGTCGACGTCCAAATCGTTTTTGACGCACAGGCATGTTCGGACCCAACCAAACCAGCCGCTGCTTGTCGAGTCTCGGGACAGTTTTGTGCTCTCTAGTAGTTCGTCACGAAGAGAGCCGCTGTAAACTTCCGCTTCGGCTGGAAAACTAGCATGAATGCTCTCCGCCCCACGCTCCATATCCGAACCAGAAAGACGTATGTTTACAGATATTTTCATAGTTCCTTCATGTTATTTCGTAGTCACAGTCTTCTCTTGCGATTGGTTGAAATGCAAATTAATGCTGGAAATGGATTTTAACGATAGAGGTACTCCCAGTGGAAGGTAGGGGTCGCGTGAACTCTGTGATCTCGCTGTAGCCCGTCGTTGGGCCGTCGCCCTGGCCGTTGTCTGTGCTTTCGCCGCCGTCGTTGTGTGTGATGTCGCCCTCGCGATCGCTGGTGACTGGGCTTTAGCTGGGCGGTCACCCTCACCCTTGGCAGTGCTCTCGCCGTTGGATATGCTCTCGACATTGTCGTTGTGTGTGATGTCGCCCTCGCCGCTGGCTGTGCTCTCGCCATCGCTCATCACCGGGCTATTGAGATCGTCGTTTGCTGAGCTATCACCCTCGACGTTGGGTGTGCTATGGCCGTCACCACTTGCTGTGATCTTCTCACGTACCCATCTTCTGATCCACTCGAAGCAGCCGTCGGTGGACCAGTCTCAGTAGTGTTTCGTGCCGTCTCCCGTGTATTCTGGGAAACTCTTGTCATAAAAGTCATCGTCGACGTCCAAATCGTTTTTGACGCACAGGCATGTTCGGACCCAACCAAACCAGCCGCTGCTTGTCGAGTCTCGGGACAGTTTTGTGCTCTCTAGTAGTTCGTCACGAAGAGAGCCGCTGTAAACTTCCGCTTCGGCTGGAAAACTAGCATGAATGCTCTCCGCCCCACGCTCCATATCCGAACCAGAAAGACGTATGTTTACAGATATTTTCATAGTTCCTTCACGTTATTTCGTAGTCACAGTCTTCTCTTGCGATTGGTTGAAATGCAAATTAATGCTGGAAATGGATTTTAACGATGGAGGTACTCCCAGTGGAAGGTAGGGGTCGCGTGAACTCTGTGATCTCGCTGTAGCCCGTCGTTGGGCTGTCGTCCTGGCCGTTCTGTGCTTTCGCCGGCGTCGTCGTGTGTGATGTCGCCCTCGCGATCGCTGGTGACTGGGCTTTCGCTGTCGTCTTTAGCTGGGCGGTCACCCTCGCCCTTGGCAGTGCTCTCGCCGTTGGATATGCTCTCGACATTGTCGTTGTGTGTGATGTCGCCCTCGCCGCTGGCTGTGCTCTCGCCATCGCTCATCACTGGGCTATTGAGATCGTCGTTTGCTGAGCTATCACCCTCGACGTTGGGTGTGCTATGGCCGTCACCACTTGCTGTGATCTTCTCACGTACCCATCTGATCCACTCGAACCAGCCGTCGGTGGACCAGTCTCAGTTGTGTTTCGTTCCGTCTCCCGTGTATTCTGGGAAACTCTTGTCATAAAAGTCATCGTCGACGTCCAAATCGTTTTTGACGCACAGGCATGTTCGGACCCAACCAAACCAGCCGCTACTTGTCGAGTCTCGGGACAGTTTTGTGCTCTCTAGTAGTTCGTCACGAAGACAGCCGCTGTAAACTTCCGCTTCGGCTGGAAAACAAGCATGAATGCTCTCCGCCCCACGCTCCATATCCGAACCAGAAAGACGTATGATTACAGACATTTTCGTAGTTCCTTCACGTTATTTCGTAGTCACAGGCTTCTCTTGCGATTGGTTGGTATGCAAATTAATACTGGTAATGGATTTTAACGATGGAGATACTCCCAGTGGAAGTGGGCTGGGGGTCCCCTGAACTCCGTTATCTCGCGAGTGACGTGACATACGTGACGAGTGGCTTCTCTGTAATACAGATGTGTAGTAGCATTTTGTAAGTTATGTAGTATGGTTATTTTATAATCTATTAGTTGTGAAAAATGTCGTTATAAACAAGCAACGAGACCACTCCTTTTTTTATTTTACAAAATCTGGCAACCCTATCATACATACATACATGTGTTTTGCGATAATTATATAACAATGATACAGATATCCATGTAATTCTACGCTCTTGTGTTCACATTCTTCCTGTATGCACCTGTTGCCAGTCAGTCAGAACTAAATCCAGTACATGTGCCTTGCAGATCGTGAGGGAATTTAGTGCAGTGCTATTGGAAACATTGCTAGCGAAACAGCTGATGCGATGTACGTATCAATCATATCAATGGCGTCCATGGCGGACTAAGCGTGTTGGCGTCGTAGGCGTTGCAGGTACGCAGCGGTTAGTAAATGGTTAGTAGGCAAAGGTCAAATAACAGTTCGAGAAAAGGCTGACTAGTTTCAAAGCTTGCAATACGCCTTGACTACCTGTAATTACAGGTAAATATTTTCGTATTTGTACGTCATGGGGATGTTGCATTATGGTATGTGTTACATAATTACTATTTACAGGCCCGCTGTTAAATTGCTACCGGCTCCCGCCAGCACAGTGATTCTTGGTTCGTTGTCCCACGGGTCTCATAACCGTATGCTGTCTGACGTCTCTTATCTCATTCCTCTTGATTTGATAAATCGAAAATATCTGTCAAGGAGTACAAGTTAACGAAGCTCATTTTCAACAATAAACTGCACTGTGATGTGATTCTCTTGAAGTATTTTTGAATTATTTATATGTATTTAATGAAGCTGTACTATTTAGTGGTGATCTTACCATTGGTAACAGTTTTTTGAGCTGCATGCCCTGCCCATCTCATCCTTGACTTGATAATTCTAATTATACTTGGCAAAGAGTAAAAGTTATGAAGCTCCTCAGTATGCAGTTTTCTCCAACATCCTGTCACTTCATCTCTCTTCAGTCCATATATTCTCAGCACCCTGTTCTCAGTCACCTCCAGTCAATGTTCCTCCATTAATGTCAAGAGACCGTGTTTTTCACCCATAAAGAACCACAGACAAAATTATAGTTTTGTATATTCTAATTTTTATGCTTTTGGACAGCATGCTAGAAGACAAAAGGTTCTGGACTGAATGGTGGCAAGCATTAATCAAATGCAGTCTCTTCTTAATTTCTTCCTGAATCAAATTTCGTTTTATCACTGTTTTTTCCAAAATTTTATAACTGTGCCACATTTGAAATCATCTGTTAGCAATCTTTGTGTAATGGTTTTCCTCTGTATTCTGGTGATGAGACGACTTAGTTTCTCTGCATTTACTTCTAAACCAACCTCCCTACTAGCACCAGTTAAAGTTTTTCTTTATGATATCTATGTTATCACCCAGTAGATTCACATCAGCATAGATCAGCAGCTGATGTGTCCCATTTAATTTCAGTCCCACTTGTTTTTCCTGGACCTTCCTTATGGCATACTCTAAAGCAAAGTTGAAAAGCAGTGTTGATAAAGCATCTCCTTGTTTTAGACCATTCTGGATAAGAAAATTATCAGATAAATGTTTACCCATATGAACTTTATGTTTCTTTTAAACTAGTTTCGTGGGTACCCCAAACTCTATGAGAATGTTGTACAGTACTTCCCTCCTAACTAAATCATAGGAATTTGGTCTTACAAGTCTGAATCAAGTAGTCCGCCTGGGATTTTGAAAGCCCTATAGACCTTTGAATTACTCCTTATCTTGTATTATACTATGGACTATTTAATGTTCTTACATCTGTTGCAAGATTTATATACCACTGAATGAGGTCTTATTGAAAATTACAATGAGTGGATTCATATTTCAGATAAATTGTGCTGCACAGGGAATCATCTGTGATGAAAATTTCCATGTTTGGTATCACATGTTCAGGCCTGTTTACAGCCCATAATACTGTTCTTGTCATTCATAGTCAGTGTTAAGAGTGAAAGTGTGATGTCCAAAAGTACATGTATGTGCATTAATTTTTATGGGAGATTGGACAGCTACTGGTCAAAGCATACCAATATTTGCATATGGTGTTTGGAAGTGCAGTAATGAGCTGAGAATTAGATTTAGGGTGGTCCCATTGTTTTAAAAAATATCTGTTAAAGTTATGAAGATGTTGACTCCCTTCAGTTGGTGGAAATGATTAATCAGTGTCTCAAGTGCATCAAGGCGAAAACTTAGTTTTAATCTTGGGCAGTAAACAGTAGTATTCTGGGCAGAAGTGTATGCCATCAAGGCATGCGAGGTTGAGAATCAAGATAGGAGCTATAAAAATAGAAACATCTGTATTCTGTCAGAAAGTGAAGCTGCAGTTAAAGCACTTGGCAGATTCCAGATCACTGGTCTGCAACTGCCATCAATCTCTTATAACTCAGATCAAACATAACAGATATTGGTGCCAGATCATGAGGGTATTGTTGGTAATGAAACAGCAGATCACCTGACAGGAACAGGATCTGAAAATCTGTTCACATAAGACCCAAACTAGCTTGCAGCATCTCGGTTGGAGTTGCCAAGAAATCAATCGGACTGGACCAACAGAAGTCACAAAACATTGGGAATCCATAACTGGACTGAAGCAGGCAAAGGGACTGATACTAGGGCCATCTGCAAGAGGAACGAGACTAGTTAAGGAGCAAAAAGAAAATTGTTTATCTGTGTGGGTTATGGTTTGTTAAAATATGCAGAAACCAGTGAAGATTTATAAAAAGCTTAACACGTAGTGAAATTAATGGTTATGACCCCGAAATTAATTAGTAATTCCCCTTTTTACACCAACTGAAAGAAGTTAACCAGTTACATGGCGAAACCGAAGTGATTAAAGTTGTATTCTATGATGATGAGGGTGTTGTACACCATGAATTATGTTCTGCAAGATTGGACTGTTATTGCTTCTCTTTACAAGTGATGAAATCTCTCCATGTTGCACTATGCCGTGAATGAGAATCTTGTGAGTGGCATATGCACTATGACAATGGAACTACCAACTCAACCCAGTCTGTGCAGAAGTACTGTTTATTTAAACACAGCATTCAACATGTGAAATAAATTAATAAAATCAATTACTTCGTTGCTCAAGACTGATATTTATATTTGTCATTCTTCTCCAAGTAGCTCCAGTTATTCTCTCCTGACTATGAACGCTTATAATACATCTGACTTGCATTCACATACTTCTGTATTTCGATTGTGGTGCCATGGACGTGTATTAAGGAAATGGAGTTGTTACTAATTTTAACTTCAACTTCATAGTTAAATATACATACTTACTTACTTATGGAGCTGAGCCCTTCTTGAGGAGAAGCCAAATCTGCAGTTACTCAAGAATTTCCCAGCATTTTATGGAACCTGAAGGTTCATTACCATGTTCACAAGAGCCCTCCACTGGCCCCTATCCTGAGCCATATCAATCCATACCAGCCCATCAAGATCCATTTTAATACTGTCCACCCACCTACGCCCTGGTGTTCCCAGTTGTCTCTTTCCTTCTGGCTTTCCCACCAAGTTAAATATGCATAATTTTAGTTTATTTTATAGTAGTTGGGGCAGGGGCAGCCCGTGTATAGGCACTGTGGAACTGCAGCACCCCCAATTTCCACTTGATATTATCGATAACATTTATATAATGAGTCTTTTTTCTTTAATTCTTTCTTTATACTTGTACAATACAATATATAATCCTTAAGCTTAATGTCAGTAGCCAAATCTTTGTATGGAACTGTGCGCTTCACAGTTCCAGCGGCGAGGTGTTTGTTGACTGTTGTCTGTTGTGCGCATGTGCACATAGGAAGCTGCACACGAGGCTGCAAGGGGCGAGAGAGCACTGTTGTTCCCGCAGTGCCAACCCTGGCGTGCTGGTGGAAGGTAGTTTTTTACTCCACGTGTGTTGTGCTTAAAAACCGTGTACCATATTCTTGAATGTGAGTTAATTGTAGAATTAGATTATTATCCTGCTTCCAGCTATTCTATTTGATTCATTTTTTTCAGTTCTTTTATTTAACAGAAAACGTTAACCATGGCCTTGCATCCCTGAGAAATAAGTTCTGTGACTGTAAGTGAACTTCAACAAATTAAGTTTTCACAACTGTCTCTCCATGAGAAAGTTGCAGTTAAGAAAAGAGGTCGTTTAACACCTGATATTCTAATATCTCAGCCAGGCATAAGCAAGAACAAGAAATATATTCGTAGCTTTAATTCTGAATGGTACAAACAGAAAAGTTGGCTTTGCGGCTGTGAAGTAAAAAATGCACTGTTTTGCTTCCCGTGTTTGCTGTTTGGGGGTGATGTAACATGGACAAAAGATGGTTTTAGAAATATAAACAAAATGAAAGAAAAAACTGAAAAGCATGACAAGTCAAAGAAGCACATTGATAATGTAGTTTCACTGTCACTTTTAGGAGCCGTAAGTATTAAGGAGAAACTTAGTGAGGCATACAGACTTTCAGTCAATGAGTATAATATAAAGGTTAAAAGGAACTGTGAAATTTTGTCCAAAATAATAGACTGCATTTTCTTTTGTGGAAACTTTGAAACTCCCTTACGTGGACATGATGAAAAAGACGATTCAATAAATCCAGGGGTATTTAGAGGATTAGTAAATTTTGCATCTAAATTAGATTCAGATTTGAAGCATCACTTAGAAACCAGTGCAGTCTTCAAAGGTGTTTCTAAGACCATTCAGAATGAGATACTTGACTGCCTGCTACAAACATACCATGAGGAGATAAGGACAGAAATTAGGAAGGCTACCTTTGTAGCTGTCATGGCTGATGACACAACAGATGTTTCGGAACACACTCAGATGGTCCTTGTTCTACGGTACATATTGAATGGAGAAATATTTGAGCGTTTTGGGGGATTCTTTATTCCAGAAAATCAAACTGCAGATGGCATATCAAAACGTATTTTAGAACAATTGGACATAATCCTTCAAGGAAATGGACAAAAACTGATAGCTCAGACATTTGATGGTGCAAATGTCATGAAAGGCAAAAAAGCAGGAGTTCAAGCAAAAATAAAAGCAGTTTATAGTAATGCACATTTCATTCACTGTTATGCACATCAACTTAATTTAATAATGAGAAATGCAGCAAGTATTACACGAAACACAAGAATATTTTTCTCTAACATTCTGGCTATTCCAGCATTCTTCTCAAGATCACCGCAACGTGTGTCCATTCTCAAGAAGCATATGGCAGTCAGCATTCCACGTCCATCTTCTACAAGGTGGAACTTCAACATACGGACCATAAACAGAGTTCATGAAAATTTGCAACCTTTAATAAACTGCCTTACTGAAATTCAGTCAACATCAAATGCAGATCAAACCATTGCAGAAGCAACAGGAATTTTAAAATACCTGAATGATGATAATTTCAAGTTTTGGTTAGAGCTTTTTCATCAGATTATGCCTCATGTTGAAATAATTTACAACCAAATGCAATCTTAAGAAATTAGTGTGTTTAAAGTTAATGAATATATAACAAATTTCAAAACTGCTATTTTAGAATTGAGAAACTCAAAGTACTGTGAGAATCCTTCAAAGACACTCATGGCAGAGGCTAAGGAAGTGTGTGACTGTATATGTGTTGATATAATGGACAGATATTCTTCCACTAAACACTTAGTCGCTGCTAAATTGTTTAACAAGAAATGCTTCACTAGTTTTAAGAATGAATATCCCACAGAAGAGATAGTACTGACCACTGAAGCATATCCCATGATTGACAAGGAAAAGCTTGAAACTGAACTAAAAGTATTCTATTGTAGGTCTGATATTCATGAATATTGCACATTAATTGAGCTGCTGAAATTTATCTTGGAAAATAATGTAGATGTTTTTACTGAAATTAGGAAACTGATAAAAATCATCTTGACAGTTCCCATGACTACATCAGAGGCAGAGCGCTGCTTTTCAACATTGAAAAGAATAAAAACTTTTCTAAGAAGCACTATGAATTCGGAAAGACTAAATGCGCTTGCAGTGCTTTCAATGGAGAAAAATTTCCTCAGTTGTCATTCAGAGATCAAGGAGAAAATTATTGATCTTTATTATTGATCTTAAAACAAAGGCTACAAATTTTCTGGAGCAGCACCCACACTAATTTTAGCTACGAGCCACCACTGAGTTGGGGTATGCGTTAATTAATTTGTCAGTACTTTTTGTAAATTATACTAACCAGAGTTCATGTGTTCTGGCAGATTATAGAGGTTTCTGATGATGGTGTATAATGCTCAGAATTACTGGGGTTTTCAGACTTTTAGAATACCAGATGATGGACAGAGTCTGAAAACCTAGTAATTCTGTGTTCAGACATTCTGGTATATGATACTTGCTTCACTTTCAGTCTGCCTTACCTGCCTATTTTTGAATTGCATGCAGACCTTAACGGAGTTTACTGTTTCTATTTTTAGATTCCTGCCTTAACATTAGAAACAAAGCCAGTCTCTAGAGGGGAATTAACTGTTACCAAGAGGAGTGATTTCCTGGCTTTACCAGTAGAACAGGTCTCAATGAATGCCTTGCACCACCACCTAAAGTTGTGTTACTTTATTCCATTTGATTTATATCCAAAGGAAAAATGGCTGTTCCAAGGTAGCGTTTCCTTTTAATGTGAAATTAAAATGGTGTAATATATTAACAGTATCTGAGATAGGTCATGATAAAATAATGAAGCTATTGAAAATAACTCAGTAGTCAAAAGACAGAATTATACTCATCAAATGTTATTCTTTGTGTACATTTTCTAATTTCATCTGATAATTAATGAAAAGTATGATATGGTGTAATTTTGTTTTTACTGAATGTATATCAGAATTAAACAGGTTCTTGCTGAACTATGTTACTTTTTTTTTTTAAATCGTAATATTATGACAATATAGTTATTCACAGCATTCTGTTATTAACTGTGCTGTTCCTTTGCAGGAGTGGATAGTTAGCTTTGAGTATACCTTGAGACCCAGGAAGAAATCCTAGAGAGAAAAGTGTGTTACCTATATACATGTCATTTTATTGCAGTTGTTCTGAACTGAAACCCTCTGGATCCAGTCTTCAGATCTAGGTGTACCATTTTAGTTTGTCATATTACAGTTCTGATAATGTAATGTAGTTAGTATGAACCCTTATGTAATTAATTTTTTTATACAGCTTAAAAACTGTTGCAATCATAATGATATACAGTTTCCTTTCTTAATTTTCAGGACAATGCGCCATGGCAGCTTGTGTCAGATTGAAATAGACATGAGCTTGAAACTATCAAATTATGAGGATACTGTCCGACAACTTGACATTTACTATGGACTGGGTAAGCTGTGTTATTTGGCAGTTACTAATATCAATACAGTGTCATTGCTGCATGGTGTAATTTTGTTATAAATATTAGCCTTTGATTTGTAAGGTCTCATATGATGGACCATCAGGAATAAGTCTTACCATTAGGGATGGTTACACATGCAGCAGTTCTGAAATACAGGTAAAAGAGAAGGTGTGCTTTAATTGCTCTATAATGTCAGATGATTTAAGGGGGTGGGGGCTGTTCTGTAGTTTACATACATACGTACATACATACATACATACATACATACATACATCAGCGTTTCAGAGTATTCATAAGTGTGCAACTGGCACTGAATATAAAACTTGTCAAACAACAGTCACAAGATAATCACAGATAAAATCGCAGAGACATCAATTCAACCATAGTTAAAATCTAAACTGAATACCTCAAATAAATAGATACAATGTTACACATACAATTATACCAACAAGATAATTAGCAATACATAATAATTCTTCTTCCTTAACTTACACTTACACTTAATGTCTATATTGATGCCTACTGTGGGACATTCATCAATCAGCATGCACGCCCCTTCTATTCCTTAGCTGTTGATCCTGACAGAGGAGCAAAAATTCATCAACAGTATATAACGGATTATGTATTAGGACATCCCTTATTTCTTTTATAAACTTTTTTATCATGTACTAAATTAGTCAAATAATCAGGCAGACTGTTAAATATTTTTATACCCATGCAATGAACCCCTTTCTGCCTCATTGCGAGATGTGATTGTAGGACATGGAGATTTCTTTCATGTCTCATAAATTGAATAATTAAAAGTAAAATATTCCAAATTATTTATCATAAAAGTCATCAAAGATAAAATATATTGAGAGACCAATGTTAATACGAGTATATTTAACTTTATAAATGCTGGCCTACATGAATCTCTATGTTTCATCCCCATTATTATTCTAATAATCTTCTTTTGTAAAAGAAAGATCTTCTTGGCCTCTGACGAATTACCCCAAAAAACTATTCCATATCTCATGAGTGAATGAAAGTATGCATGATATATCATTTTAAGTGTTGTAACATTACTATATGTTTTCGTAATTCGTATTGCATAACATGCCCTTCCCAATCTGGGTGACAGTGATTCAACTTGTGTCTTCCAATTCAAGAACTTATCAATTTCAATGCCCAAAAATGTAATATGAGATTCCTCTTGTAATAATTCATCGTTAAACATTAACTGTACAGGCATATTGTCACGATTGATTGTTTCAAATTTTAGCACTTTAGCTTTCCTCAAGTTTAGGGATAAGCCATTGTATTTAAACCACTGACTTAAGGAATTTAACATAAGTTTAGACCTTTCTTGAATTTCATCGATATTAATACCTGACACTAATATACTTGTATCATCAGCATACAACAGTGACTTGTTATCAGTACTTAATGCTGATGGCAGGTCACTAATATATAAAAGGAACAACATAGGACCCAAAATCGAGCCCTGTGGCACTCCATATCTGACAGTTCCCCGGTCTGAACAGCATTTTCCATTTTCATTATTATAGACTTCAACTCTTTGTCTTCTATTTTCCAGATAGGACTTAAGCCATATTTTAATTTTACCACCAATGCCATATGTTGCTAATTTACTCAAAATAATATCATGACTCACACAGTCAAATGCTTTTGTCAAATCACAAAAAATTCCTAATGAATGATTGCATCTTTCCAACATTTCTAAAATATGATTAATTACTGTATATATTGCCATTTCTGTGTTACTGTTTTCTCTAAATCCAAACTGTACAAATGACATTAAATTGTTTGTATGTATGTGTTACTTTATCCTATTGTACACCACTCTTTCAAAAATCTTAGAAAAACTTATTAGCAATGATATTAGAGTATAGTTTGCCGTAATTGCCTTCTCACCTGTTTTGTATATAGGTCTTAATGAGGCAAATTTCATTCTATCAGGATATATTCCATGCTCAAAAGATGCATTAAATATGTGACACAATGGTTTACTTATCTCAGTTATACAATATTTCAATATCTTACTAGAAATGCCATCATATCCTGTAGAATCTTTTGATTTTTGCAACATAAGTATGCTCTTTATTTCCACCTCTGTTGTAGGTATTAGCTTCAGTTCAGGGAATTTATCAAATTTCAAAGTGTCTAAGAATTTTTATTGGCACTTCTCATTTCCAGATTCTCAGCTACAGTTATAAAGTATTTATTGAATACTTCTACTACTTCCTTAGTATCAGTTACTTTGCTTTAGACAGTTAATTGCTGGTTTCCCATTGTTGTGGCCTGGGTTTGAACCCATGTATGGCCATGTAGGATTTGTGGTGGGGAAAGTGGCATTGGGCACATTTTCTCTGAGTACTTTACTTTCCTCTGACAATTCTCATTCTCTTAAATGCACCATACTCACCTATTATCTGGGCCTGGAACAATGGGCCCACTAGTGGCCAGAGTACCCCACCCCTATGAATTTAAAATATTTTTAAAGAAAGCATTTTATGGGTGGAATACTGTATGATTTATTTGTATTTTGTCTGATAAAAAGCAAAAGAAATGCAATAGCGTCATAGTACAAAATTACTTTTAATTTCTGTGGGTTTGTTCTATGGTGTTCATATAATCCAGAGTTTATTTTGATAAATACTTTATGTTTAATTCCTAGTTAAGCGGCAACTTCTGAGGCACCAGAGTCCTATCACAGGTATGTTTCCTGTGTTGTCAACTGACAGAGAAGTGGCAAGTGTCCGGGAAAGTGTGTACTGTGCAGCTGCTATCTGGAGCCTCCATCAGGCGTACAGGTACAATGTGGCTTCATTCAGATTAAAAATTAGTGCTCATGGTCTTTCTGAGCTTCTTTCCCCCTAAGCCCTTAAGTTGTGAATGGATTGGAAATACAAGAAATCAGCCCAAATGGCACATTTAACCAAGTCAAGGAAATATAAGTGAGTGAGTGCCCACTCGAGTCACCCACCAGTAGAGGGGGAGTGACCAGTAATATTCAGACCTCTCCTCGCGTCGAAGAAGAGGTCCATTTTAAATACACTCAAAAAGTCTTGGAAAGAAAAAAAATATGGCCATGGGTCCTGATAGGATCTGAAACCAAGATTGACTACTGGTGAGGGCCAGCAGCAGTTGACCTGACCAGTTGATGTAAGTTGTCCAGTAACTGAGATTAGCTCTTTGTAATGGAATCAACAGAGTAGGTTTCTCCCACACACTCACCTGAACATGGAATCAGATCTGGTTTTCAAAGTGTTGCATTGTTCAGTGTTCTTTAGAACACCAGGCGATGAACGAAGTCCAGAAACCCAGTAATCCAGACTTTTAGAATGGTCAGTACTTTTCAAACTGTGGTTTTAAAACTGTTAGACTTTTACATAAAGGTGTTGTCCATATTTTTTCAGTAAGTAAAATGTAAAGTATAGGTATCCCTGTAACAGGCCGTTGAGGCCCTTAAGGTTATGAGATGTTGAGGTGCCCACATTTTCTATGCCATCAGCTCATAGATGGTGGTAAGGTTGTCAGCCTTATGTGCCGGCCAGGGCCGCGCCATAGCTCAAGCGGTTAGTCGCTGGCTTCCCACTGCAGCAGCCTGGTTTCAATCCCAGGTCTGGTCAAGTGGGATTTATGGTGGACAAAGTGGCGCTGGGGCAGGTTTTCTCTGAGTACTTCGGTTTCCTCTGCCAATCTTCATTTGACCAATTGCTCCACAATCACCCTCACCTGTCATCTGGGGCTTGTACAATAGGCCAGAAGTGGCCGCTGTACAAGGGACTTAGTTCCACCCCACTGGCAATAAAAATAAAATAATACATGCCGGCCACCCTTTGCCCTGAAGATTATTCCTAGTACTCATTTCTGATAGAGGCTGAGTCGACCCCAGGGCTGTGGTGCAGCTGGAAGGATTAGGTAAATTGAAAAAAATCAACCTCATCAGGATTTAATCCCGCAACCTTCCGGCTTGTAGCATAGTGCCTCAACCAACTATGCTACCGCGTGCCCCTTCTATATTCAGTTAGGAACAATATTATTAGGCCAAGAAGGAGACAGCCAAGTGAATGGGCACTCACACATTGATGTTGAATGCATCACTTCCATGCTATATGATAATAGCCCATAGCCCAAGTACAACTGTTTTTATAAACATTTTCACAAATTTTATATTTTACAAGTAAGTGTTAAGATCCATTGAAGTTTTTTGTAATGACAGTTTATTGTATTTCCAGATCATTGACTAGCAGTATTATGTGTTCATATTTTTGTCTTCTGGGATATGGCACTATATTATTTATTGGGTGGGTGCTAATATCTTAGAGGCACGTACTTGTACTTCCTCATCTTTAGGGTAGAAGATGGAGACATGCTATTCCTCTGAAACATTAGTCATCAGAGTACACAGTGCTATAACATAGAAGACCACAGTATCAGTCTTCACTCCTATGAAAATCTCAAATATTATGTAGTCATACCTGTACTTATTCTAGGTTATCCTTAAAATAATTAACTGCTAAAGCAATGGAGTTGCTAATTTTTTATATCACATGTTAAGTACCCTTCCTCTACCTGTTTTTTTAATATCTTCTGAAATAATGTTTACCTCAAGCGTGTAACCATGTGTATATTAAATTAATCATTTGTATGTTAACTTCATAAGCAGTGTAAAGAATAATAGGGAACTTAACCTCTTAGTTTATACATGAAGGTGCAATGCAAGAAACATTGAATTGTTCACGCTTGCAAAGTTCAGAGTCAGCAGAGCTCAGTTGATGTAGCAACTGGGTTTTGGGCTGGAAAATGAAGGAATCAGGGTTTGATTCCCAGTAGGGACAAGGAATTTTCCTCTTTACAATATCCACACCAGCTTTGGGGCACACCCAGCCTCCTGTATAGTATGTACTTCGAACTTTTTCGCAAGGAGTGAAGCAACCAAGTAATAAAGCAGACCACCCACATCCATGTAATGTCAAGGCTAATGGATTGAGTCATACCATCACTCCCCTATGCTCATAGACACTTTTGATGTTACATTTTTTTATTAAATTTATGTGATAAAAGTGAAAGGATATGACATCACACACTTTTCTATTATTTACTGCCATGGTACAGCCTGGTTAAAATCTGATGGGTTGCTTTATGCATTAAATTGTGTATGATAGCTCTCAGTGTGGTGAACATAACCAGGTTGCCTGTTCTTTCACTAAACAGAACATAATAACATGAAAACATTCGTGCCACTAAGAGATACACCACAGTAGTAATCTTGGAGCTAGAAAGCTGGGTTTGGATGCCATTACAGTCCTGTCCCTAGCAAATGTGGATCCCTTTGTATGAAAGCTAATTTTTTTCCGTATGTACAAAAATTAAAAACTGGCAGTGCATAGAGCCTAATACCACATTTGACAAAACTGCAGTTAGTGAGGAATTTCAGTATATGCTGTAACCTTCAGTTCAAACATAAAATTGGGATGTAACAAAATACATTCCTTAATATAACCCACAAAGGTATGATCAACAGAAAAATGTACAAGTTGATGGAGCCTTTTGAAACTTTGCTTCATTAGGCGAATAGATGATGACCGGGGGAAGTCATATGAACTTGGTCAATCTGCAGTGAAGTGTATGAGAGGAATTCTTGAATGCTGGATAAAGCAAGCTCCAAGAATTGAATTGTTCAAGAAAAATCAGTGCAATAAACATGCTTTGCACTGCAAATTCCACTTAACAACAGGTGCTGAAGTGTATAATGATGAGGAATACTACCACTTACAGGTAAAGTATGGGGTCATTCATTAGGTGTGGATAAAAGTAAAACACTGTGAAATATGAACTGTTAACTTTCATTGCTTAATATTTGACACATATAGCCTTCAAAGAAGGGAGGTTTATCCCTCAATGTGAGCCCCCTCATGGGCACAGCAGAGGTCACAACAGCAGACCAGTCCATCCCCCTTGTCATTAACTCTTCGACTGGTGTGGGCGCGTTTTAACGCCCGGATGATGCCAGCTGTTCCTGGCGTTGGCGTGTTTTAGTGCTTTGATAAACTCTTCCCTTCTTTGCTCTCTTTGCACTCATCAACCAAAGACATATATATGATAGTTTTGTGCATGGTTGTAAAGGACCCTTGTTAACTTTGTGGGGGTCTATATTACTGTCAGAACCCTCCGAGAAGGAAAAGGTCAGAAAATATTTCGCATTCATTCAGTTTCACCATGGCTTCTCGCAGCAAGTGTCGGAGTGTTCCTACAGACCAGCTGGAAAGTGTTGTGAACAAGATTTATGCTGATGATGATAGTGGTGATGAAATAATGATTCCTGAATTAGATGAAGTTGATAGTGACAATAATACAGTGACAGACAATGATCCACAAGACAGTAATCATGAACATTTACCTACCACGAGTGCAGTGCCTGACACGCCCATCTCATGGACGTACGGAGACATCGTACCAACAATAGTTCCATTTACTAGTAGTTCCGGGATCAAAATTGATATAACATAAAATTCACCCCTTTTCATGGATTAAAATTTTTCTGGATGACGACTTAGTAAATCACATCACAACTGAAACCAATCGCTATGCTCACCAGCACTTCCAACACATATGAGTTAGCTCCTCACTCTTGAGAACACAATTACAAATATGTCTCACCAAATGAAATCTGGACATACTTAGGAATTGTGTTTATGACAGGAATCGACAAACGCCCTGAAATTGAAGAATATTGGTCCACTAGGCCCCTATTTCACACTCCATGGTATGGACAAAAGATGTCTTTGCAGTGGTTCCAAGAGATTTCAAAATTTCTTCATTTTGCTGACAATGATGCACCACCAGCTGACTGTGAAGATCGCCTGTATAAAGTTAGGCCAATTATAGACTCATTAGTGGGGAAATTTGGAAACACATATATCCCTGAAAAGGAAATTGCAATAGATGAAGGAATGATCGCTTGGAAAGGATGTCTTATCTTCCGAGTATATATGCCTGATAAACCTGATAAGTACGGTATAAAGGCTTATCTTGTTTGTGAATCGACAAGTGGATATATTTGGAATTTTGAAATTTATTGCAGAAAATCAAGACCTATAAAGGAATTAGTTGTCGATCTGTTGGGGCCACAGCTTCTAGATAAAGGGTATCATCTCTACCAGGATAACTATTACAATAGTGTAGAATTGTGTGAGACGTTATTACAAAGAAATACCTATGTGAGTGGAACCTTCAGAATGGACAGAGGAGCTCCTAAAGAACTAAAGGATGATGTAAAAAATTTGAAAAAAGTGTAATCTGTGTTTCCTAGGAAGGGGCAGGTTCTCATACAGCTGTGGAGAGATAAAAGAGACATCAAACTTATCTCAACTCTTCACACAGCAAAATTCATGGAATCTGCAAAAACGAATTGCAAAGGAGAAAAAAATATGCAGACCCAAGGTAATTGGGGACTACAATAAACATATGAGAGGCGTTGACACGGCTGATCAAATGCTGCATTATTATTCTTGTTCCCGCAAAACTGTAAAGTGGACAAAGAAACTGGTGTTTTTCTTGTTGCAAATGGCAGCGTTGAATAGTTTCATTCTATTCAAAAAGAACACAACAAACGAAAAATACAGGAAGAGAAATTACAAATCCAAAGATTTTATAGTGGACTGTGTAGAGAAAGTGACAGAACCAAACAAACAGTGTGGAGAGGGAGAAGAGTCAAGGAATGAAGTGGATGACGAATCTATTGCTTCAGACTCGAGTGCAGTCATGCCTCGCCCGCGACCTTGAAAAGACCACCAGTGAAAGACCCAGCAAATCGTCTACACAAAATGGTCCATGTTCCTCCCAGTAACAATAAGAAGAATGGTGCCATGAGAAAGTGTCGCATGTGTGCTAAGCACAAGATTAGAAAAGAAACAAGTGTCATGTGTGCAAGCTGTGGTGTGGCTCTCTGCAAACTTTCATGTTTCAATGTTTATCACACGAAGAAAAGCTACTAAAAAGGTATGGAAAAATATATTGTCTTTTTATTAGTTCCTGAAGATTTCGTTTTTAAAAACCAATTTTTGTTGAAGTTATTTAGAAAAAAATAAACACATGCATTTTAGCGACTTAAGGCTTAAAGGGCCTGCCAGGACAGGGGTGGGATTTAAATACCCTTTGCGCCAGTAAGCATCTTAGGTGTAACTTGCATGAAAGTTGTGGAAATCTTTTCTTGGTTGTGTGGGTGTTCATTCTTCAACCAGTGTGAAATGTTGCCTCATCTGAAAACAGCTACCTGCTAAAATAGTTCACAGCAAACGCCATTTGCTTGCACACCATGCATACAGAATTGAAATACAGGACACACTGCTTGCTGATGTGCACGCACCACCTTCTTTGGATTTCGCATGACTCACAGGCCCCCTGTAAACAGTGAGTATATAACAAACCCACCAGATTTTACTAACACAGTAGACAGTGTTTTTTGTTTTCATAACATTAATGAAGCATTTTGTTTCAGACCATTCTGAACAGAAAATGCATTAGACAATAAATGTTTCTGTCGTTCATTAACACAAAATATTTTGCATGGTTTTCGTGTTTTGGTTATTTTTTCTGAAAGAATGGCCTTAAAAGATGTTTGCTTGTGTTCTAAACATATTTCTATACCTGATTTTTTTTATTTCATCATTCCAAAAATTGACACATGACTTTAAAGATAAAACTCATTGAGGCCTATAATTTTCATTTGAAGTATTTTCCAAGAGGTGTACGCTTAATGAAACACAAGCATAAATCTGTAAGCCTTTTTGTGTCCATGGCATTAAATATGGATTGCATAATAAAGAAAGTCTACTTCTATAATCTCTACAGTTCTTGTTTTATTTTAGCACAATGAATCATATCTGTTAACAAGTATACTATAAAATGTTGTTTCATGTAAAGTGAAGATTATAGTGAACAAATATTGAATGAAATGAAATTCAGTTGTCAATCTTTTATGTAAACACATTTAATCAAAATCCATATGGCTGTTCCATACTTGGTATCTACTTAGAGAAGCATTTCTGCAAGAAATTCTTACCCTTTTTTTAACTTGAGCTGATGTCCTGACACTCTCAAATCACATACTGCATCTGTTATGTGAATGGTGAAATACTTTATTTCCAAATTCTGAGTGTCATGTAAATATAGACAGATGTACTGGGCAGACTAACAGTGAACTGGCAATTTCCTGTCTGTGCTATTTAAATAAGTATGTTGCATCTAATTAAGAGAGTAATTTAATAATTAATGAATCAGTGCTTTATAACATATTTTGTTGTTGAGTCATATCTGACATGCCACTTGCATGCATAGATTGCTATATCTCACTTGAAAAAAGTATAATACATCTCATGCCAACATGCAACTTTGTAAGCTGATTCAGCTTTACAAGGGAATTCGAAGTTGCAAGGTTGTAATGTATTCACAGTTAAGGGAAGGCTATTCCATGGACAGTGTGAATTCTGTTTGCCACAAAGAAAAACATAAGGAGAGTGTAATACTGAAATTTGATTAACTTTCAGATAGACGTTGTGTCTTTGTACCTGATCTTCTTAGTGCAGATGATCACTTCAGGCCTGCAGATCGTTTATACACAGGATGAAGTAGCATTCGTTCAGAACTTGGTGTACTATGTGGAACGTGCATATCGTACACCAGACTATGGCATGTGGGAGCGGGGAAGCAAATACAATGACGGAACTCCTGAGATACATGCAAGGCAAGAGCTTCCTTAGTAAAGATAAATGTTGGTAATGTAAAGTGAATAGAACAGGAAGAAAGAAGCTCATGGGATCAGTAGCACTCTTGTAGTAAGAAGCAGTAGCAGATGTTTGTTTGATATTACAAATTAGGTTAGGTCTGTTATGAATCTTTAAACCTGTATTGTACCATCATGGGTAATTTATTCACTTGCATTAAAGAAAGAACACATTTAAAGGGAGAGAAGTGTAGCGAGAAAGGATAGTTTACTCTTATTATAGTTTTACATCAAAATATTTTGCAATAGTTGTTGAAACATATTTTATGATGCAGGTTTTTGAATCATTCTGTAAAAGCTTACACCCAAAAGCAAAAAACATGTTGAAATGTTATTTGTTGATGTGGATTGTAAAAGGAATGGACATTGGTTTCTGTATAATGGTAGCATGGTATCATGTTGTAGGAAATGACATGGATAAGCTTTAAAGAACAGACTAAGAGGATATGTAGGGCCGCGCCATAGCTCTAGTGGTTAGTCGCTGGCTTCCCACCGCAGCGGCCTGGGTCTGGTCAAGTGGGATTTGTGGTGGACAAAGTGGCACTGGGGCAGGTTTTCTCCGAGTACTTCGGTTTCCCCTGCCAATCTTCATTCCACCAGTTGTTCCACAACCACCCTCACCTATCATCTGGGGCTGGTACAGTAGGCCAGAAGTGGCCGCAGTACAAGGGGACTTAGTCCCACCCCACTAGCTATAGAAAATAAAAAAAAGAAGAGGATATGTGTGATACTTGCTTCAATGCATTTGATATTTGATGTGGTACTTGGCATATGGTTAAGTTTCTTCACTTTTGTATTCACTGGATGCAGTTGGGAACTACATATATGTTTTATAATTTCAGATATCCAAAGCTGCATTTTTAAAGTAATGCTATCACCTCTGCAAATAGGAATTCACTTTGAGTATGAATTATTGAACACTGTCTTACATGCCTTTGTGTTTGCATGTTCGTAAGGATATATTGGTAAACACTCCTAACTTGTATATTTCATTTTGTAAGATGGGAAGATAAAACCCCACAGTTTAAAAATAAAAAGGTAAATTGGATAATAGAATAGAAAGGTCAGCTTACATGAGGCGAGACCTAGAATTGAAGGTGTTTGTGTCTGTGAGTTAGATTGATGAATGTTGTTGCAAGTTTAGGTTGTACTGAATATATTTTCATCAATTATCATTTAATTAGTTTAGTTCCAATTAGGGCTCTCCTTTTGTGGCAGTATGCAACTATCGATATATCAGTAACTCATTTTCTATAAAACACAAAAGTAATAATAATAATTTTTATTGGTATAAAACCCTAAAGTCTCATCTAAAAAGAAGTCTCTCCTATTTATCCACTGGGATAACAGACATTGAAATAAAGACAGGCTTCTCATTGCAAATTAGTTAATTGGTTTGTTTTTGACACGTCTGGGTACTGATGCCTTTCTAGAGAAACATATGTCTCATAGATTTGTAATGTCTCCTTTTCAAAGATTATATAGTTTTCTATTGGAATAAATGTAATGATGAAAGAAAGAAAACAGACAATAGAAGCAGAGCACAAAACAGTGCTGAAGAGATTTCTGGCTCTCCAGTGGTGCTCAAGTGAGTCTGGAAGCTGATGAACCTGGACATGTGCTTGAAATTTGTTGCAGCATTCTAACACTAAAAGTATAAGTTTAGTACTTGTGTTGCAGTTCCATCGGTATGGCTAAAAGTGCTCTGGAAGCAATAAATGGATGTAATTTGTTTGGTGAGAAGGGAGCATCATGGTCGGTTATCTATGTTGACATTGATGCACATAACCGCAATCGAAGCATCTTTGAAACCATGTTACCAAGGGAATCAAGTTCAAAGGTACAGTGGTGTTTCTTTATGTGTATGTAACAATCTTATGTCATAAGTATGATAATTTGTCTGCTTTCTTTTAATGATTGAGGTCTTGTGATATTCCACTATATGATTTAAAATGGTAGTTTTAAATTTTACATGTGGGAATTATAAAAAAGTTTTCATGCTAGTTCTGAGTTTACTAAAGAAGTTTGCATCTCATTTGTATTGTAACATGTATGTCCATTGCTAGGGAACAGCTAGGTAAACATGTTACAACCAGTATGCATCAAATAATAGAAGGGTGTCCATTGCTAGGTGGTAGACCAGTAAACACATATCACAGCAACGAATGCACAGCAATAGGGCATCCATTGTTAGCCAACACATGGGTGGACATTCCTGACAACAATACATGATATCTGTTGCTGGGTGGTCTGTGCCGAGCCTATGTAGGAAGCTGTTAAGACAGTTCAAGAGGATTCGTCAGGAAGACATCACTGAAGGCAGTGTAGTAGTTGCTCTATTAACCTTGAGAGTGTTATAAGTGATTGTGTGTCATAGATACAGCAGTCTTGAAAGTGTAAATATGAATTTTAGTCATGACATGTGAAATTATCCAGTAAATCAAGTTAATCAAATCTGGAACCCATTATTTACTCTCACACTACCAGGATACATGTGACAATATGATTTTAATATGGTGATAACATTACTTGAAGTAGCTTTCTGTTCATGTGGTATATAGTACTGTATTGAAGCAGGTTTTGTCTGTATTCGTCTGTGTTGTGTTCTCATAACCCTTTATTCCACCATTACCTTCACTGAATATTTCTTTAGGTATTTCATTAACTTTTATTTGGATACAGGGTGTGGATGCCTCTTTGATCCCAACAATATCATTCCCTGCATTTGCGACACATGAGGATGTCTTATGTGTTGAAACAAAGGCAAATGTTATTCGTCGGCTGAAAGGTCGGTATGGTTTCAAACGTTTCTGTCGTGATGGCTATAAATGTATGCTGGAGGACACAAAGAAGAGATACTATAGGAATGGTGAAACAAAGGTAACTAGAATGAACACATGCACTTGTGCACACACACACACACACACACATCTCCGAGGGTTCACGTATAAAGTTCTTTTGTAATAAAACATATATCTAACAAAGAATATCGTGGTTTCTGGCAAGACAAATCCATTTATAAAAGCCATATTATACTTTCATATAATTCCCTACTGAATGGCTTGAAACAGAATTTAGGTGTCTGATTTATATTCAAGAGGTACTTGTTTGGATCTAGGATCAAGTAGTGGATGTCCCAATTGAATGTTTTAATTGTTTTGTTAGTTCTTCTAGACAAAAGAGAGTATAATCTAGGCTACAGCTGCTCTCTTCTTCATCCAGTCATCTCATTTTCTAGTAAACAGTCGACAAACCAACTGACCAGAGGATTTCTGTGTTTAATGGGGAAAACATATTTTCCATAAATTTTGTCAAGTGGCCTTTTTACTGTTTAATTGTTTTACACTGAAAGTTTGTTTCTTATTTGTATTAAAAATTCTCTTTTCAGGAATTTGAAGGCATTGAGTGTGAATGGCCATTATTTTATATATTCATGATAATAGATGGTGTATTTAAGTCACATCCAGAACAGATTGAGGAGTACCAGAATCTTCTTAAGTCTAAAATCAAGAGAGATATGAATGGAGGTACAGTAGATAATTATTCAAGTTGTGGGAAGACTGTTTCATTTGCACGAAGAACATTGTAAGTCTGATTGTTTTACACATTATGGCCCTGATACATGAAATGCTTCTTAGGCTGACTTTTCTGATTGAACATACATGCAGCATTTTATGAAGATAAAATTATAAATTAATGATAATTTTGTTCTTTAATTTTCTGTTATCTTTCTTTACCTTAATACATGTAATATCAAGTGAATATGTTACAAACACTTGGCCAGTGTGTTGTTAATGGAGATCTTCATGAAGCAGGCAGCTGTTCGTTATATATTCTTTCCTCTTGATTGGCATTCCATCAGCACTTATTCATATCGTTTTTTACAGCATCCAGAAATAATATACGGTATCTCTCTTTTAACACAAGCTCATATGTTGTTTTACCTTTCCCATACAGTAACCAATGCACTAATCACTTTCTCCTTTGGCAAGTACTATATCATCACCTCTTAACCCTTTGACGTGGTCATTTAAATTCCGCGGCCGCGGCTCCTGCGGTAATATATTCAGCCGGCCATTTAAATTTTGCTTGAAAATTATTTATTCATCATTGTTCTTAAATTNCACATATCAGTCTCTGGTGTTTATAGCTTCAGAGCAAACAAAACACATCATTCATAACAGAAACAGCTCGCAATAGCCACAGGAACGTTGCTGCAAGACAGGCATATGTAACGACGACTTAGCGCTCTTAAACGCGTGTGTCATTAAATACAGTCCTCCTGACAACAGGCCAGTGAAAAATCTAACAATCTACAGCAAAACCATCAATTATTATGGGCGTTATAACATACGTGTGCAGCTGGACGAAACATACACGTCGAACCCCCCCAGACGATTTAAATCCCTGACGAAACATACACGACGAACCACGGCAACGGGTTAATCAGTAGCTAATGCTGTTGTGTTCTAGGCTACTTATGTGTAGTTCAAAGATTGAGCATAATGTTGGAGAGCATGATATTTTTATAAAACAACAGTAACTTAGAAAGTAAAAAAGAAGCTTGGTGAAGGGGGGGAAATAGAACATAAAATTATATTTTTGTGAAATTATGCTACAATTTTATTTAATCAGGAAAGAATTCCAGAAGTAATTACTGTAATAGCTCTTAATTGTTACTAATATTATTTTGTATGTTCTCCATTGTGTGAAGTGTATTTGATATACAAAAGTTTTGGGGGTTTCATTCTATTCCTTGGCGTTTGAATTGTTGAGTAAGCACTTTCTTAGAATTGAATTATTTCATTTTAAAATTATTGATAATGGTATTGAACCTAGGACCTTTTGAATGTTAAGCTAGTGCACTAATTACTAGATAACCTGCTCAGTGGATAATACATAAATAGTTAGATGGGACAGAGATGTCATCTGGTATGGGGTCAAGCACTGATCAGTATGAAATACTAACTGCAGTCATCTTCATAAAGAAGTTTCAGGTACGTTTTTCTTGCCAAAGAAAACTTACAGCACTTATTAAAATAGCTGGGCTGCACCATAGCTCAAGCAGTTAGTCGCTGGCTTCCCACCGTGGCAGCCCGGGTGATCCCGGGTCTGGTCAAGTGGGATTTGTGGTGGACAAAGTGGCGCTGGGGCAGGTTTTCTCTGAGTACTTTGGTTTTTCCTGCCAATCTTTATTCCACCAATTGTTCCACAATCACGCTCACCTATCATCTGGGGCTTGTACAATAGGCCAGAAGTGGCCACAGTACAAGGGACTTAGTCCCACCCCACTAGCAATAAAAAAAATAGAAAATAAAAATATTAAAATAGCTGGGTTGGCATAGCTCTTAAAGTTGATGGTTACTGTTTTGTCTTGCCCAATTTTGGTTTTGGATTTTTTGGGTGTGAACTCAGTTACCAATTTTTGATGTCCTTCCATGCAGATAAAGACCATTCAGGTTACTGAAACTTTGGAAGTATTCACCAAGACCAGATCAGGTCAGCATTCTTGCTCTATGAAGCTACTGATGGTGGAGCTAGTAATGTATTTCCCTGTGTGCTTATGACTTACTATAGGTTCTTGGATGAAACCAGCATCTGTGATGTGTTTCAGACCCAGTGATTCCAATGTACTTTTTTGTACACGAAGACAATATAGAATTTGAGAAACAGGAGAATGGCAGCCAAATGCGGTTACCTAGTGGTGAAGGCAGTGGTGTGAAGGGAATGTTCCTATGGAACCAGGCTATGTTTGTTATTTCCCAACTGCTGACAGCTGGGTTGTTACATATCAACGAGCTGGATCCTATACGTCGGTACTTGCCCTCTTACAACAGACCGCGTACTGCAGGACGATACTCTGCATTTCAGGTGGGTATCATCATCTTTGGTGATATTCCTTACATGCATAGTGTTCAATATTATGAGCTCATGTACAAAAAAAAACTCAATTTCAGTCCACAAGTGAACCATACTGACCGAGCAACTGCCGCTTGTCGGCGAAGTTTAATGCCCGTTTTTGTGGATAGAGGTTGTCGCATGGTCAGTTCAACAAATCCCCATGGCCATTAATTTCGGTTTTCTAGTCCGGAGCTGCTGTTTCCTTGAAATAGCTTCTCAATTATCATCACGAGGCTGAGTGTACCCCGTTCCAGATCCACTACTTCTCTGAAAAAATCTGGTAGCGCTGGGAGTCGAATCTGTAGCCTGGAACTAGACCACAGAATCGGTCATGTACAGACATTTTAATTCAGTAAACTGTGATTTTCTTTATAATGGAATGTATAAGCTTCTTGATATTAATACTTATCATTTCAGTTCAGTGGAAAACCTTTGTTAAAATTTTCAGTTTTGTTTAAGGACACCGATATGTCCATACATTACCATGCTTATTATATGTGCTATGTTTTAATTATTGTTGTCAGTTAGGTAGTAAGTGTTTATTTCATTACTTTTCTGTACTCATTGTTAATTTTTTTTTTCAATTCTGGTGGTGCTATAGGCCAAACCTTCACTAGTAAGTACATATTTATGATATACAAGCACCCAGCCTGTTTCTTCAAGATACTTAAGCACTTGAAAGCATGTTCATAGCACATCAGAACTACCCTGTAGCACTGTGTTCTGAAACTTGTGTGAAAGCAGTTCTTGCTAGCATATGTTATGTATTGTTTCATTTCTCAGATCTTCTTTTTCTCCTTTTCTGTCTTTCATTCTCTTTCTTTACTTTTGTTTTGCATTTGCCAGTCAGTAGGTAACACAGTAGGTTGAACCTTCACTATTACGTACTCATGTATGATTTACAAGCACTCAACTTATTTCTTCAAGATACTTGAGCATCTGAAGCATGTATATAGCATATCAGCACTATTCTGTAGCACAGTATGTTCTGAAACTTGTATGATAAAGTTATTTCTAGCATATATTTTATATTTATATGGTTCTATTACAAGGCTGTAGCACTGTTGATTTTGTGTACCAGAATTGGGCAACATCGATTTAATGTCCGGGAGGTCCGAATGTCGCAATGCTACTCCTGTTACTCTCTAAGGCGACTGATCATTCTGGAGAGGCAGAAGTCTTGTCGGTTCCAGGAACACCCGGTTTCCTCTCCTCTGAATTTTTACGATTGGCTGCACCTAAAATTGGGATGTTAGTCTCATTTACATTCTGCCAATCCCTAACAAGATCAAAGTAAATTTGGGCCTAAGTACTAGACGGTCCCTCTGATGGCTCTCAAATAAATGAAGGTACACTAACGATTGTTCAGCACGCCTCTCCGAAATTATTGCAAGTCATATCTGTCAAGTCTCAAATTTTCAAAGACTTGTGCCGCCGAAGTTCAGCATTGAAATTCCCAGGAAATGCAGTGGGACACTTCCTGTTCTGTTCTGGGTCTACAAGTTACATGCAGCTTGCCTCTCTAAGAAAGACCGGATGTCGTTTTTGGCGCCTGCTGGTGCTGGGGTCAATCATGTCTCATCCTTTGTTATGTGGTAATACAGTTCGTTTACTTGTATAAAATTATAATTAATGGTGTAAATGAACAACATTGATGATGTTCTTGCATGGTGTGGTTAAACATTGTTTTCCTGAAGATATCATTTGTGCAGTTTTATTTAGGGAGATGGTCTCCATGAGTTATTGAAATTGAATCAAATCGTTCAAACTGTTTTCCAGAATATATATGGATAAATACCGTCTTAAGTGCAACAAATTTTATTGTAGTTTTTACTTCTTTTCCTCCTCCACACTACATGTTTCGGCCCTAAATGGCCATCATCAGGTGTGTATCACTCACGTAGCTGTTACACTGCTTGTTAAAATTTAAAATTACCAGTCTTTCTAATT